TCCCCAGAGAAGGGAACTCAGGTAGGGTGGGTACCCTGCTCTGTGCTCCTGTACCCACCTCCGGTCTCAGGGCACTGAGTCTCTTGCCCCCTCATGGTTGGCATCCTTCCGAGCTCTCAGCACCCTGCCCTGAATCAGGTCTCCTAGCACACTCCTCAGAGCATCCCAGGCACGCACCTCGTCACTTACAGGGCTGCGGGATGATGGACGAGTCTGTCCTCGGCCTTGACGTGAAGGGCACACGTGGTCCAACTCCTGCTCCTCATCGCTGGTAAATAGGACGCCGTGGTGACAAGGGAAATAAACCTCATTGATTCACGTCTCCTTCCATGTCCTCCCAGCATTGCCGCAAGATGGCTGAATGGTGTCAGAGGCTCCCCTGTGCCTTGCCATCGTCCCTCCAGCTGCATGGCCTGTCCCTGGGAATTCTGGGGTTCTGGAGGTAAAAGCCAGGGTCTGGGCCTCATCTTGCCTCCTTCCATGTCCCCAGGGCCCCAACAGGTGCAACATTTGACTCTTGTTTTTGTCTCATCTGCCTGTTGACATCTGCTTCTGAGAGGTTTCACAATGCATGATCAGAGCTCCCTGGGATAGCACGAGATCAAGCCCTGTAAGTCGCCTGCCTAGCACCTCCGGCCTCAGATCCCCAAACCAAAGGAGAGAGAGGCAGAGGGCAGTGAGACTGGGAGAGTAGGAGGATGGACTGAGACCCCCATCACTCATCCTTCACTGAGCTCTGCCTATGGGTTGGTACTGGGAGAAAAGCAACTCAACTGGGAACAGAGCTAGCTGCAGTGCTATCTCCATGTCCGCTTCCTGTGTGGTTGGTGACCTTGAACTGGCCTCTGGATGTCTCTGAACCTGTATGCTTTGAGAAAGAAGCAGATGAGGAGCTAGCTTACGGTCTGAACCTTTCAGGTCCTAGGCTCTAGACACAGTGGTCTCTTTGGACTCTTCCAGCTCCCTGAGACTTGATAGTGTCACACCCATCTTACAGAGGAGAAAACTGAGAGCTGTGGCCACTCTGCAAGGGTGCCATGATGGCTCAGCTTAAGAATTGGGGAGAGCTGTACTGCAGGAGCAGGACTCCATACCCTGCTGGCTACTTGGGGCTGCCATGAAATGTAGAGAACCAGGAGTGGTGTGTGAACTGTAAATCACAGTGAGCATGCAGACAGCGGTCCTGACCTGGCTGGCCAACCTCAGGAGCTGTCCAGCAAGTAGAGGGAATGAATGTTGCTGGGTATGGGAAATGGGCCCAAATCAGACTGGTTGGGTTGCCGGAAGGCCCTGGTGTCAGCCTCGCCTAGAACTTGGAAAACATGCCCCTCAAGAAGAGACAACAGGGTTCCTGAGAAGGGGTCGGCAAGATGGGCACACAGAGCTCCATTCGGTGGGGGGGTTCCTAAATCTGACTTTAGTTTCCTGGATACTCCCCCGCTGAACAATGCCATGCTTCCTCCCACAGATCTGGCACAGGTGGATTTGTTTGACAGGCATGAGTGAAAATGTGACCGACACAGCTAACCTGTGATTTCATGGCTGTGCTAATGCTGAGGATGAGGTCAGAGGGGTGCTGGGTGATGCATGGGACTCAGGTTGTATAGCTGACAGGTACAGGCTCTGAGAGAGGAAGAACACTGCAGTGTAGACACAGAAGCACCACATGGCCTGCACCCCAGGGGTCCCTGGCCCCAAGGTCACTGGCACCCCTGTCCTGGAGCCACAAAGCCTATAGGCTGCCTATTGCACTTGGAATTTCAGGTCAACAGTGAGCCCTTTGACAGATGTATTGTCTGCGTAGTATTTAGGACATGTGTCTATTTCCAGAGAGCTGGTTGCTTTTGTAAAATTCGAGTGTAACTGGGCACACATGTTTTATCCAGCAGCGTTCCCTCTTAGCCTGTACAAAGCCAGGAAGAGGCTGGTGGAACTGAGTCAATTCCTCTCCTCCTTCCCTATGTAGGTGTGCCCCTGCAGACAGAGGCTGCAGGAAGGACACCCTTGCATGTCTGGTGTTTCCATCACTGGTTCCTTCAAGTGAAGCTGTAGGGATGACATAAAGCGATAAGTATGACATTGGCTTCCTGGGGCCAGTGCAATGGCTTCATTGGCTAATCCTCCACCTGCAAGGGCTGGCATCCCATGTGGCTGCTGGTTCATGTCCCAGCTGCTCAGCTTCCCATCCAGCTCCCTGCTTGTGGCTTGGGAAAGCAGTGGAAGATGGCCCATAGCCTTGGGACCCTGCAACTATGTAGGAAACCTGGAGGAGGCTTGAACTTGACTCAACTCTAGCTGTTGGCAGCCATTTGGGTAATGAAACAGCAGATGGAAGATCTTTCTCTGTCTCTCCTTCTCTCTGTGTATCTGCTTGTCCTTATAAAAAGGAAAATCTTAAAATAAATTGACTTCTTTAGCTCAACAAAAGCCAGAGCTATTTAGGGAGATGAAAACAAAACAGAGGCTGCCCAACACAGCCTGGCCTCCAGTGTGGAGCAGGGGCAGAGGTGGAGCTGCCCCTGGGGAGAGACTGTATAGTGGATGGAGTACAAGTGGGCCTGGTGGGTGATCCATTTTGGGAAGGTAGGAGACTCCTTCACTGTGGCTCTGCTTCTTAGCAGCAGAGAGAGGCCAGGAGGGGGCTGTGAAGGCAAGGTAAGAATTGTTGAAATCCATACCTCCATGCACAAGCACATATTGAGTGCCTGCCGGGTATCAAGCCAGAACCTGCTGCCGGATCTCAAGGAGACCAACTGGGGCAACCTAAGCTCTAGGGACCTGAGTTTCTCAAGGCTTGGATTCAGAGCCACAGAGTAGAGAAGTGACAGATAACACTGTGGGTTGGGTAAAGAGTGAGACACTGGGAGACATTTGAGATAATGGGCAAGACATTGGAACATAGGCACTGGAAATCATGAAAACTTAGAGGACAATCCTGGACCAGGACCCGTTTTAGGACATTGAGGAAAGTGAGGCATAGAGGCTTGCTGGGTGACTCATGGGATCACATGGCATAATGTAGCAGCGCCAGATGCAAACCCAGGACTCATGAATGCCTTAACCATAGCATTTGCTATCTGCTGGATGGGAACAGGGACGGTCCTTAGAGATTTTCAAGCAAAGAGAAGCAGCAAGAGAGTGATGAGCTCCTTCTGGGGCCTGTGCTTGCAGCGAGTATAGACACGGATGTGCTCGCTCAGGAACCACAGCAGGAGCAACCAGGACCCAGGGTTGGGCAGCTGGGTGGACAGGGGTGAAGACTGGCAGGGACTTGCTGAAGCAGCCACTCAGCACAGGTGGAATTGGTGACAGGGCTGGGTGTTCAGATCTCGCTACTGCAAGCAGGACTAGGGACAGGTAGCAGGACAGTGACTTTGGGCATGCTGGACTTGAAGTGACACCACATGATCCCTCCCATGGTCCCCAAGCAGAGTCCCAGGCAGCAGCCCTGGCATAAACAGTACATGGGCTCCAGCCACCCCTCTGTACTAGCTGGAACCACAGACCATAAGATTCCTCTGAGTTTCCATTTGCTCTGGTGAAATGGGGAGCTGAAGCACCCCTTTGCGGGATGTTGGGGGTGTTGAGTCAGGGGAATGTATTGAGATTGGGGCACAGCTGGTGCAGCACAGCCATCTCCACTGGGCTGGGGCAGAGATGCTCGTAGGAATGGATGAGTGCCTTCCTTGTGGGGTCATTTGTTATGGATTCCCACAGTGCGCCGGGCCCTAGGGATACAGGTGGAGCTGCTTGTGGGAAAGTGGGTGACAGCTCTAGACTGTGAGTGATGCCACTCAGCATGGTGCCTGGCACATAGTAGGGCTGCAGAGAATATCAGGGTATATTCAAAACATGGCACAGATGGCCAGCTGTACCTGAGTCCAGGATACAAAGCAGGACAGCAGGTACAGAGGGGAAGCACTGAGTCTGCAACCATTTTCTGTGCTGGAAAGTCCCCAGACGTGGACAAGGCAGTTCAAGGAGATACAGAAACTGCACTTTTGGCTCTTGGCAAGCTCATCACAGCTCCTCTCCAGCTCTCACTCGTCTCACCTTGCTTTAAGAAACACTGGGTAAGACCCACGGGAATCAGTTTTGCACCATCAGCAGGCTGGGAAGCTGGGCAGAAGGCAAAATGGCCCAGGGCAGCTGGCCTTCTGTGGCTGCCCTTGCGGCCATGGTGGGTGACAGTGACCGTGAGCATGTCCCCTCTACCATAGGCCTCAGTGGCCCCAGCTTGGGTTTAAGTGTTCTGCAAGCCTGCCGCATGGCCCATCTCGCACTGCAGGGTTTTCCCTTCGACCACTTCTATTTTTGTTTATTTGTATTGCAAAGGTTGGGGTTGTTTGCAGGTTGGTTTGGTTTTTTTTTTTTTTTTTTTTTTTTTGCCTCCTTATTATCCTTCCATTTAAAATGTTCTTTTTCCACATTATGGACTAAAGCAGTTTGCTCCATAGTAAAAATCCAAGCAGTATATATATTGCTGTCATGGGAAGTTGCTTTTTCTCATGTATGGCTTTTTGTTTTAATAAATTACAATGTTGCTCACATTCTACGGTGATATAAGATGGCGTGCCGGGGTTGGAAATCTCAGCCGGATAGAGGCAGAGAAGGAAAAGATCCAAGTCTGCCTTCATGGTGCCCACCTGCTCCCGTCCTGGGTCTACCCCATTCCCATTTCTGCAGTGACTCTTATGTCCGGTCAAGAGGACACAGAGATGTTGGTAGAGACCCTGAAACTCCTGGTGAAGAGTCGGAGGGGAGAGGATGGGGGTTCCGGAAGTATCTGTTCTGGAAACAGCTGAAGAAAAGCTGGCTCTGCCCAACCTTCTGTGTGCCCCTCAGGCATCCACATGACCTCTCTGAGCCTCGGTGACCTCGGAGAAGGAGTGTGTGTGTGTGATGGTGGCTGGGGGGAGGTGTCAGGGCCACGATGCCCCTAGTGTGAGGCCGCATCCCGCCCGCAATCCTGCTGACTGCGTTTGTGGTGACCCTGGCAGGTCGGGGACCAGATTCTGGAGGTGAATGGGCGGAGCTTTCTCAGCATCCTGCACGACGAGGCGGTGAAGCTGCTCAAGTCCTCGCGACACCTCATGCTGACAGTGAAGGATGTTGGGAGGCTGCCGCATGCCCGCACCACCGTGGATGAGACCAAGTGGATTGCCAGTTCCCGCATCGGGGAGATCGCCACCAACTCAGGGTCTGGCTGCTCCAGGACCCCCAGGGTCTTTTCTGCAAGCCAGTGACCGCCCCTCTCAGCCCCTCCCCAACTCCCCTGCCACACACATACCTGCTTACAGGAGCCAGAGGCCTGGCCTTCAGCATTTCCTTCTCCTTCCCCTGCCTCAGTTTCCCCCATGGGAGGTTGAACTACATGGCCCAGTATCTCCTTCCTTCTCTGCCCTCAAGCAAGCCCTTGCCTCGCTCAATCCCCTATTGCCCTCACTGTAAAGCAAGGATCAGAATCCTGCCATCTCCCCAGTTGCTGCTAGTGAGAGTCCCTTGAGGGGATGGGGGTTAGAGGCTCTTGGAAGTCCCCAAGTACCATACAGGAGCTTGGTGACTGCACAGGTGCTGGTACTGTGCTGTGTCACCTGTTGGGCCCCATCAGACATCAGCCTGGTGGCTGTTTCCGCCCCCCCCCCCAACAGACACCCCTCCTCAGCAGCTGTTTCTTTCTTCATCTCTTCCACTTATCTCACTCTCTTCCTGCCTGCATGATATTGCATGCTTTAAAGAATTAGTTGCCAATGCTTTTTTGAAAATCTACTTTCCCATTTCAAAAAGAAAAAAAAAAAACTGAGCCTGCCACTGCTGCTTCAACCTCAGGAATCCAGCAGCTGGCACCCAGCTTTTGGTGTGAAACCATAGGCAGAAGCTCAATCACCCACACATTGCAATCTACCCATCTCCACCCTGCCCATGGCCAGGGGCCCTAAGGGCACAGAGCAGTCCTCCACCCCTCCACTGGCTCCTTGCGTGACTGCCCTGTTCCTGTGGGACTGGGAGCAGCCTCAGATCCGGTCCTCCTGCTGGGGACACTGGGAACCACCCATCTGTGCAAGGATTTGTGTATCCCTGAGGAGTCCTTGAATGTGGAGACCATGAGGCTGTTTTCTCGAAGCTTCACCCTGCCTGTCCGTTGGTTTGAAACCACTCAGATGTACAGCTGAACATGCATATCTCTCTTTACAGGTTTCCTGGGGACCTCACAGCAGAAGGGACACACAAGGTAGGGCGTTCTCCATCTCGGGGGGTGTTTTAGACTTTGTCACAACTCCCCAGGTGGGGAGCTTGGTATCAGATAACAGGTGCCAAGTTGAATTCTACACGGCCTCTACTCTGAGCTCACAGCCCTCATTTCTGTGAGTGCCTGCCAGGTTCCAGGATTGGTGGATCCCTGCCCACATGGCAATCACACCGAGGCAAGAACACACATATGAAAGCAAAACGCATCTTCTAAAACACTGATGCATGAGCAGGATCCTCTGTGCCACTGATCAGGTGCAAAGGATGAGGAGGGGCAGTAAGCAAGAGGCTACACCTCAACGAGGCAGAAAGGGGCTCCCTCCCCTGTGGAAAGGGTGGGATTCTGGAGCTGGGAACTCAGTGCCCAGTGACAGTTGTTAGGATCAGAGTCTGGCAGGGAAGGACTTGTCTTGCTGGGAGAAGAGAAGAAAGATGTGTGAGGGCGCTGGGAGCCAGACGGCAGCAGGTAAGATGGCCAGGTCACGTGGACCTCGAGGGGGTAACTCAACTTCTAACTTAGATATGAGGAGTGGGTGTGGGCCACTCAGGGCAGTAAGCAGCACCCTGGAGAGGATTGCTTGCGATTGGCAGATAACTACAGCACAGCAACTCCATGCAGAGAAGGCCTCGGGACCGGGGGAGGGGAGACAGGTACTGTCTTGGCCACATCTGATGAGATGACAAAGGCAGAGGCAGAGTGTGGTTGCAGCCATGCAAGAGACAGCCCCACAGGGGACTTCCTGTGTGTGCTGATGCCACCCAGGAGCCATGCACACTGAGTGCCCCTTCTGTACTGCTGCCCCTGGCTTGGCCTGCTCATCTTGCTGCAGAGCAGCTCAAAGTCAGCAAGCCTCTTTCTTTCTGTCTTTTCAGCTGGGATTTTACAAGGGCCTGGCGGGCTCACAGGTGACCCTCAGCAGCCTGGGGAACCAGGTGCGTGTTCTGCTTGAGGAGCAGGCCCGGCACCTGCTGACGGAGCAGGAGCGTGCCACCCTGGCCTACTACCTGCAGGAGTACCGTGTGGGCAGCGTCTCGGTGGACGCCCTCACCATGGCCCTGTTCGAGCTACTCAACACCCACGCCAAGGTGACCCTCTTGCCCTCTGTCCCCAGCTGCTTTCCTGAGAACCCGGGAGGAGTCAGGACTGGACTGAACCCCCAACCTGAGAGTGGGGACCACAACAGCATCCTGTCCCCAGGAAGCTGTCAGACACCCTGCCACCTCCAGGCTCCATCCCAGGCTGACTGAGTCCTTACACCTGTGCATGGGGCTGACTGGAATTTTTGCAGGGTCTTTCTTCCTCCCTTCCTTCCTTCCTTTTTTTTTTTTTTTGTTTAGATTTATTTTATTTATTTGGAAGGCAGAGTTACTTGGAAAGCAAGGGAGAGACAGAGAGAAAGATCTTCCATCCACTTCACACCCCAAATGGCTGTATTGCCCAGAACTGGACCAGTCTGAAGCCAGGAGCTTCTTTTGGGTCTCCTACATGTGTATAGGGCCCAAACCTTGAACCATCCTCTTTCCTGCTTTCCCAGGTACATTAGTAGGGGGCTGCATCAGAAGTGGAGCAGCCAAGACTCAAACTGGTACCCATATCAGATGCCAATGCTGCAGGCAGTGGTTTAACTTGCTATGCCACAATGCCAACCCCTGGCAGGGACTTTCACAAGCCTCCCAGGACACCGTGCCTCACCTCCAGCTCTAATGCCATGGGGCTGAGGCTCAGAAGTTCACCAAGGGAAGAGATGGAATCCATTCAGGGAGGGTTATTTCAGAAGACTTCATGGAGGAGACAAGCATAAGACACGGGGGCAGGGACAGCGAGGGCCTGAAGAGGAGGTTAAGGCAGTGCTGGGCCTGGTGTCTAGACTGAGGGCCCTAGAGAGCCACCAAGGGCTGTGGATGACAGGTGCCCTGCACAGTCAGCTCATCTAGGGGTCTTGTCTTACTTGCTGGGGAAGCTCCAGACTGAGTGCACTGCCCGTCCCCGCCCCCAGTTCTCGCTCCTCTCGGAGGTGAGAGGCGTCATCTCCCCGCAAGACCTGGACCGTTTTGACCATCTGGTGCTGAGGCGTGAGATCGAGTCCATGAAGGCACGGCAGCCCCTAGGCCCTGGGGCCGGGGATACCTACTCCATGGTCTCCTACAGCGACACGGGTTCCTCCACGGGCAGCCATGGCACCTCCACCACCGTCAGCTCGGCCAGGGTGAGCTGCCCCTGCCCTGTCCCCAGCCTGGTGACTGGGGATGGAGTTCAGATAACAAACTTTGGAATGAGACCAGTTTGGGTTCAAATCCCAGCACCCCTGCTTACCTGATCTGTAGGCTGCCTCTCCAAGTCTCAGCTTCTCCATCTGTAAGAACCCAATAACTTCCTGAGTGCCCATGGGAACCAGGGGCAACTAGTGAGTGAGATCCATGACCCTGCCCCAGTGGGGCTCATAGCCTGGGGGTAGGGGCAGAGGTTAGAAGAAAAGCATTCCAGTAGTGGGGCATCAGATGAAGGACCAGTAGTCCTGTCCCCAGCCCCTGGAGGGTGCACTCGGTAAATGGTGTGAGGATTGTGACCACAGGAGCTGTGATTACCCAAGCCCATCTTGACTTTCTTGCAAATTCAAGGTGTGCTTGTGTCCCAAGGATGTGGGAGGTGGGTTCATCCCAGGAGGCCACAGCCAGGGAGGGGCTTGGAGAAGGGCCTCTTGGTGTCTTTCCAGGGGCTGCTGCACATTTCAGACAGTACAGCAGGGGTGGCCAGGAAGATGTCAGGCCCTGCTAGGGCCACCCTGTCCCCATCACTCTGGAGAACCTGGTCTCCTTCCTGAGGTGACCCCAGAAATTAGCATGCATGTCCTGGGACTCAACATGGCTGCAGAGGAGGCGGTTTCATGTTTGGGGACAAGGAGGATACTTCTTTCTTGCTTGGTTTTTAATTTTATTTATTTGAAAGGCAGAGAGAGGCCAACAGAGAAGGCTCCCACTGCTGGCTTTTCTCCCCCCTGCCTGTAGCTCTCAGAGCTGATCAGGAGCCTGAAACTTACTCCAGGGTTCCTCACATAGATAACAAGAACCCAGTCGCTTGAGCCATCACTGCTACCTCCTGAGGTCTGCATTAGCAGGAGTCAGGAGCTGGAACTAGGAGTCAGGTGACGGTGTTCTAACCATGGGGTTGGGGGAGGTCAGCCAGCCGCACCCCACACTTCCTGTTTGCACTGAGCATATGCTATGATGTAGCATTCAGGCTATGGGCACTGTCAGGCTTCAGGGACCATTATCCTCCAGATCTGGCTCTGCTGAGCTTGGCTCTGATGGTACCCACAGGGGATGGGGTGCCAGGAGCCGTGAGCCAGTGCTACACAGCCTGGGGCTGCCGACTGGAGTCCCAGGACTATCCCTTTAGAATGAGGGATGAGAGGGCCCATGGGCGGGGTAGTGTGTTACTGGGAAATAGTCGGTCTGGATTTAGGCTCTGGACTCCTCTTCAGGCCGAGGTGTCTTCAAGGATGAATGAGCTGAGGTCACTGCTGCCTGTGGCCATGCAGCCTGAATGCCCTGAGAGTAGATGAGACCAGAGCAGTAGGAGGCTCGGGGCAACTGACAGGGGCTTTGGGCAGGGGTCAGGAGCCCTCAGTCCCAGCTCAGCCCTGACTGGCCCACAGTGACCACCTGCCTGGGCTCCCTGCTGTGGCCTCCAGCAAAGGCCCTGAGCCCTGACCTCCCCAAGGGGCTGCTACTCCTAATGGGACCCCCTGGGGTGTTAGGGTGGCTTTGAGAGAAAATTTCTGGGCACAGGTGACAGGGGTATCCCTGGAGAGGCCCCTAGAAATGGCAGTTCATAGCCCGCTAGGGGGCAGAAAGAGGTTGTTTCACCTGGAGTCCCCACTAGGTGGAGCAGTGCTGCAGCTTCCTCCAGTTCACTAACCCTAACCTTAACTGCAAAAGAGGAGCCCGGTGTCCAGCATCCTGCAGTGCTGCCTTCTCGTCTCCAAGGGCTACAAACACTGCCATCCTTGGGTTTCTCTCCCTGAGGCTCTGGGCAGCTCCAGGTTGCAGGCCTGCCACTCCCAGCCTCCATCTCACCAGCTGCCCAGCAATGAACCCCCAGGACTGTGTGCAGGTTCTCTGCTTGGTGCCCCCCCCCCACCACTGAAACACAAGCCTCCTCCCATCCAGGCACCCAACAGGGGTTGTTTTCAGGCAAGTAGGCACCATCTTGGGCAAGTCACTTTCCCTGCCCAAGCCTGTTGGTCCCTCTGCCAGATGGAGAGTGGTCCTCATCCCCAGGCCCCCTGCCTTGAGAACAAGTGTCATTTCTTCAGAGCACTCAGGCAGGATCAAGGGTGCTGATTACAGCAGGGCAGCCTCTTCCTCCTCCTCCCCAGCCCCCTCCCGTCCTCCTGCCTGAAGCATTCCTGGTGAACAGAAGAGGCCCCAGGTCACATGTGTTTTGCATGTGTGCGTGTGGTTTGGGGGCAGGGTTGTTGCTGTGCCCGCCCCGTTCCCTGCTATTTATTTGATGTATTTTTCTTTTTGCCTTTTCGCCCATCTTCCCTCCCCAGGAGCGGCTGCTGTGGCTTATAGACCTGATGGAGGTACCTTCCTTCCTGAGGGTGGGTGTGGCGGGGGTGCCCTAACTGGGGCAGAGACAGGGTGGCCCCTTCCTGCCATCCCCTGGCCTTAGTGAGTCCAGGGGTACTTGGTACTCAGTGTTCTAGTGTGAATGTGGCTCCTCTGAATCACAGTTCAGGTGTGACCTCAGAGGCAGGGTCCCCCGTGTGACCTCACTTTTTGCATCTGTAAAACCAGGGTGACCATGTCTGTGCTCTGAGGTTGAGCAGTCTCGCAGCCTCTGCATGTGCACATGTGCTCTCTCTCTCTGGAAAGTTCTCCTTCCTACTTCTACAGCCTAACAATCCCCTCTGTGTGCTGCCTGCTCAGCTCAGCACCACTTCTCAGAACCAAGGGCCTCCCTCATTCCTCCCCAAGGGGTGACTCAGCTTCCCTCCCCTGCTCGGCGACTCCTCCAACACCTGACGCCTCCTGTGGCCCCATCCCCTGTCTCTGTGCTCTCAGAATCTATTCAGTTGTCCTGTCTAAGTTGCTCCCTAACACAACTGTGGCGTCTCTGCCCTGGTGCCCAGCCCATATCCTGACTCATGCAAATAGTCTAGGTCTTGTAGTGGCAAGACTGGCGCTGGACCACCATGGCTCTGTGAGAACCCTTCTCTGTACTAGGAGCGGGGTGGGGGGTGGTCTCAGTTTGCACAGAAGAGAGCAGGAGCTCAGGGAGGCTCCAGGTCACACCTCTAGGGAGTGTGCAGGCAGGGTTCCAACCTGCTGGCCTTGGAGCTGGCACAGCGGACACCTGCCCTGGCAGTGACCCTTCCCTGAACCTCGCCAGCTGCCTTAGTTGTCTGTCTGTCTGCCTTCTGCTTGGCCCTCCTTTCCACGAATAAGCTTTGGGCACTTAGTGTATACAGTTCTAGGTGTTTGGTGCTAAACAACAAAGAAACCCCTTCTGCAGTGAATTCAGAGTGAGAAGGAATGAAATGTAGGGAGGGAGAGAGATCTTATCTGCCCATTCTGTCCCTAACTGGATGCAATAACCATGGCCGGATTAGGCTGAACCCAGGAGCCTGAGCTCCATCCTGGTCCCCCACATGGGTGGCAGGGGTTCAAGAGCTTGGGCAGTAGCTCTTAACAGTAGCTGCCGAGTTCTCAGGTGCATCAGCAGGGAACTGGATTGAAACACAGTAGCCGGGACTCAAACTGGCATTCCAGCATCACCCACAGCGGCTTAACCTGTTGTGTCATGATGCTGGCCTCTATATAGACTGTTAAGCGTAATAAGTAGTAAGAGGGTGGGGAAGACAGAAAAGGGGGTAGCTAAGGGATGGGTGACTGGGAAGTGGCACTTGAGGAAGGAAGGGAGACAGGCACACCCATATCTGGGGAAAGAGCAGTTCAATGCAGAAACAGCATATGCAAAGGTCCTGAGGTGGAGCTGTGGCTACAGCCCCTGAGTAAGCTCCAGGAGGCCCACAAGGCAGAACAGGGTGAGTACAGGTCAGGCCTGGACAAGGGCAGCCATGTGGTGGGGTCTTGGAGGACTTGAACAAGGTGAATAAGAGCAGGAACTGACATGACCTAACCCAGTTTTCCTAGGATCCCTCTGATTACTCATAGTCAGGGATGAGACTGTTCAAAGATGAGCAGGTTTGCTCTCAGGAAACAGCCAAGCCCAGAAGTCTGTGGGCCACACAGGGCCGGGGTGGTAGTGCAGGTTAAGCTGCTAGGAGCTGTGTTGATGGGCTCCCTGTGTGGGCTCTGCCTTGGTATCTGCTGAGGAGGACATTTACGCACGGCTTATCTCAGCCTGGGGACTCTGTGCACCTGCTGTAGGACAGAAACCTCCTCTTCCTGGAAGCCCCCTATAAGTATTCAGGCCATGGGGCCTCATCCCAGGAGCCCAAAACCCCAAACTCTCCATCTACCCTGTCCCTGTCCTACAGAATGTCCTGACGACAGCCCACTACCTAGGACCCAGGCAGACCACCCCAACAACTCCCACTCTGCACCGTTTGTGTGGGGAGGGGCCAGGAGCCACTCGGGGAGGTACAGCATGGAATGGTGGCCCTGGGTTCCCCACATACATGAATGAGGGCCACCATGGGCACCAGGTCCTGGCCCATTGCATCATCCATGCAAGCTTTGACTACAGTGGCGCTGAGTAGCAGACAACACTAGATTCTACAGGGACAGCAAAATCTTTTCTCAGGCCCCTTTCTTTCCCTTGTAGAGTTCCCAAGACTTTTACAATTCATTCATTCTGTTATTTAAGAGACAGAGATGGGCAGAGTGCTCCCATCCACTGGTTCATTTTCCCAGAAGCCTGCAATAGCCAGAGCTGGATTGAGGTCTATCATGGGGAATCTGGTTCTCAATCCAGGACTCCCATGGGAATGGAAGGAACCCTAGTGTTTGAGCCATCGCTGCTGCCTCCTGGGGTCTGCCTTAGCAGGAAGCTGGACTCAGGAGCCAGAGCCTGGTATCCAAGGCGAGTTCTGCAGTGCGGAATGCAGGTGTCTTAGCTAACAGCAGCCTGTGCTCATCCATCCCCACTGGGACACTTGTCACACTGCTTCTCCATCATCCTGAGTGTCCTTTTCCCTACTACCCAGGGAGAGCAGGTGGGGTGCAGACAGGAACCACGTGCTTCTCATGGCATTGAGAAGTAGGGAACAGGGCCTGCAAAGAGGCACCCCCAGCTGCCTTCAGAGTCATCTTCCAACCTTGCAGCCCCCACAGTGATGTGAGGTGTCCGGGCTGGCTGCCAGTGACCCTAATTCCCAGGATGTGGCTTCCGTCTCACTCACATTCCCTGGCCCAAGCCATGCAGCTGCTTGTCCCTGGTTGACTGCGCCTCATTCTGCAGCTGATAGCCCTCTAACCAGATGTCAAACAGAGGGAATCTATGGCTGCCCTCCCTATCAGCAAACCAGGTTTGTTGTGATGTGTGAAAAAGAGACACTTTGTGCTGCTTCCAGACTGTTCCCAAAAGACAGTGGCCAGGACAACCGGGGAAAGGAGGGGCTGCCTGACATGGCACAAATTCACCTGGTGCTAGCGGGCCCATGGCAGAGGGGCCATGGATTCCCGGCACCTGTGTTCTGCAACCCCCCACCCTCTCAGGATTCCAACTGCTGCTCCTATGGGATGTTGGCATCACAGGAGGTAACTTATCCTAACGCATAATGACTTTGGCCCAGGAGACAGATTTCAACATGGGAAGGCACCTTCTAAGGCTGTTTGGCTAGCACAGTTAGTACCAAGGCTGGGCTGCAGGTCAGTGACCATGTCAGTGTGAGGTCCTGGTGAGGGTCCATGGGCCTTGGCACCACCTATGATAACCAAGAGGATGTGATTGAGAAGCTCTGTGCCTTCCTCAGGGACAGCAGAGGCTTTTTCCCTCCGTCCTTTCAAGCAGGAAGTATGGGTCTCAGAACTGGATGGGAATTTGGGCTGTTTATCCACCAGCCGGACTCAGTTCCCATCCTGTCCCTGCTACCTGGCGTTATTCCCAAGGGCCCCTCCAGCCCTGACCTCCTGGGGATTCTGGGTCACTCTCTCTCTACCCAATGATGACCTACTTTCCCCCAGATCATGGGAGGGAGATTTAGAACAGAAGGAGGAGCATCTGGTCAACCATGGGACAGTCTCCTGTGATTTGCCCTGTCCCTCCCTCCCTTCCCCACTTGGGTATCAGAAGGCTCCACCCACAAGCTTCCCCATAGCCTTCCGCCTTTATGCCCTGGTGCTCCTATGTGGTAAGTGGAGCAGATAGCTGACAACACCAAGTGCTGCCCTTGGCAGGAGTGGGACTCAACCACACCTGCCACGGGCTGGGCCTTGGCTCCCAGGCCACCTTCACCAACCCAGCTCCCAACCCCACTCTGTGTTTGGAGAAATAGGGGGGCTGGAATCCCGGAATCTGAAATCTGGTCCCAAAAGTCCTCAGGTCCTCTGATTGCCACCCCTTTGCCCTCCAGCAATTTCAGGACTTCAGCTTCACCTGGCTCCCATACTGCTCCCCAGTCCCCATCCTGCCCTCTCTGTGTCTCCCCACCTCTCGGTCCTTTCTTGTGCATCCTCTCTCCTGTCTTACTCTCGTTTTCCCCTCTCTGATCTCCCTCTCACTTTGCCCTTCTTGCCCCGTAGTGATATTCCAGAAGCTTTGTGCCTCCATGCCTCAGTTTCCCCTTAGACAGCCTGGGGGTGAGGGTAGCCTATTGGCCCGAGTCAAGGAGGTGGAGATACGTAAGAGCCCCCGCCATGGTGCAGCAAGGGAAGCTGGCATACCTGGGAATTGCAGAGGGTAGGGAGGCCCCTTTCTGCCAAGTTGGCCTTGACAGCACCTGACCTTGACAACAGCCAAGCCATGCCTTACCTGTCTCGTCTTGTAGTGCCCAAGGCCGGTGGCAGAGGCTGGCATAGGGCAAATCCTGGGCATCTTGTATCGTTTCAATTTGCCTCCACATCAGGACCCCAACCCAGACTCTGGGAACTGTATGTGGGCCAACTCAGACAGTAAGGACTAGGACTGCCTGAAGCAGCACAGGTGTGGGGTTGGGAGAGAAGCACTGGCACAGCAGGCATTGGGGGCCACAGTAGTCTGTCCTGGAGGACGGGCTAGTGCAGTCAGGCCTCCTGTGGAGTTCTGCTTCCTGCTCTGTCCTTGCTGTGCAACCTGAGCTTGTGTCCTACCCTTGCTGAGCCGCAGTCTCCTAGCACTGTGGGAGGGCTCCTTAGCACTGTGGGAGGGCTTCCAGCATTAAATCGTGGGGTCTAGACCCTCAGCTGAGCTCTGCCTTCAGTGAATGACAGACGAAAGGGCCCAAGCAGCTCTGGTGGGGTGCGGTGAGGCCGGGACGCAGAGGCTTTGACTTTGACCTTGAGCCAGCTCTTACCTTGAGCCTGCTCTGGACAACGTCTGTTCCGTGTTTCTGCTGACGCATCCCCCTAGGTTCTTAGCCTGCTGTCTGCAGCTATTTCCGAAGCACACGGAACACGGCTCGGGGACTCAGGGCTCCTGAGCGTCTGGATTCAACAGATGGAGTCAGGCAGGGCTGGACTCTGGGCTGGCTGCCGTGTGCGCCACTTCAGGAATCCCTCATCCAGCCCTCCCCCTCCTCCGCCGTCTTTCCAGGCACCAGGACGCCAGGAACAACAGGGACAGAGAGCTAAAACCAGGGGCCTACAGTGGCTGAGTTACCAGCCCAGACAGGTACCTATGGAGTCAGGGCCCTGCCCCCTGTGGCCAGCGCTGGGCCAGGGCAGTGGGGTTTGGGGTGACCCAATGTTAGGAGCCTGATCTACTCTAGGACAGCCCTGTGACCCTATGTGAGTCACTTTCTCCTCTGAGCTTTAGCTGTGATGGATGTGAGAAGGGACAGACAGTGCTGTCCTTAGGGTCGCAGTGGCCACATCTGAGTCAGGCAGAGGCTCCTCCTCCAGTCTGTGGACCCTTTCCCATGCCCTCTGCAGAAGGCAGGGCAGTACCTGTCCCTGGTCGTGAAAGGTGATTGCAGATACCCAGCCCTGCAGCCTGCCCTAGCTCCATACCCTCTGTGTTTCCAAGAAGCCATGGACTCACCCTGGCTCAGGAGCAGGAGCTTGTACAGTCAGGCTTCTGTGTCCTTTCCATCCTTTATTCCATCACTGGGGCAAACTTTTGTGGCCCCGAAGCCTCCGAGGGATGTCACAGTCACCCTCCCCTGTCTTTTGTGCCAGGTTCTGTTTGGTGTGTTTTATAGGCATCAACATGCCAATTGTTTTGGCAGGTGCTTCTCTTATCCCATTTTACAGATGAGAAAACCAAGGCACGGAGGGATTCAGGGATTTGCCCACCACTGCTCAGCTGTGAGCTTGGCAGGGGATCTCAGAGGAGCCTTGGAGATAGCAAAGCTAAGGGGTCACTCATCAGTGGGGGAGGGAAGAGCACCCCTGCCCCTCCTCCCCAAGCTCATCCTTCCCCAGCACCACCTGAGACTGCCAGCAAGCCTTTCCTGTGAAGGAAGCTTGAGCAATGAACCGGTTCTGAGGCTGAGGTTGTGCCTCAGTTTAGCCAGCATGATGACAGCCCTGGCCTGATGTCGTGCCAGCAGCATCATGGGGCAGATGATGCACTTGGAGTTTGCGTGTGGCAGAGCTGGGGCGGGGGGGGGGGCTCTGCGATTAGAGGATCCTCTGGCTCAAGGCTTCAGGGAGACCACGGACACGGGGGTCTGCCTCGGGGGGGGAGTGTGGAGCCAGTGACCCTGCTGCTTCCACCCTCAGTCCTAAACATCACCACTGCTCCTGATAAAGGACCAAACCACCACTCTGCTTGCTACCACCTCAGGACTCTGCTCCATGGTGGGTGGAGTCGTTTGCCATCAGTCATGGGCTCAGTAATTCAGTTGGCAAACACTCATCAAACAAAAAAGAGGTGGGGACCCAGGTAGTCCCAGGGTTTGCCTTCTCAGAGTTTGTAGCCTAAGGTGAGAGACAAGGCGATGAGTCAGAGGAAGTCAGGTGGTGATACTTGGTAAACAGGAAAAACAGGCAGGATCTCAGGACATAAAGGGGATGGTGGTATGCGAGACTATTGTAGCCAGGCAGGTCAGGGAGGAGCTTGCTGAGATCAGACCCAAAGGAAGGAAGTGGATGTGCCATGAACCAGGGGTGGGCAGCGAGAGCAGCAAGTGCAGACGCAGGAATGAGGCCAGCCTGTTGGAGAAGCAGCAAGGGAAAGCCCGGCCACGCAGGCGCCATGAGTGAGGAGTTTGGAATTTCCTGCAAGTGAGCCGGAGGGCCCCGGGACCATCTGCACTGGGAGGAGACGTGACCTGATTCCTATTTCATCAGGGCTGCATGGTGGGGGAGAGTGATCACAAAAGAGGAGCAGCAGGTGTGTGATCGGGGCTGAGGAGGGGTTCCTCAGAGAGGAGGTGGCACGTGAGCAGGGTCTTCAGGAACTGAGCAAACACTGCACTGTGGGTCACCCAGAAGGTTCCAGATGGAGGCCCCAAGACTGCTGAGTGTGGCAGGAGAGGATGGGTGTAAAGGGACCTTGGGAGAGGACAAACTTGACCCTGTCTGTGTGGCAACCTGTGGCTCTCAAGGACTCTCAAGCTCCCATTGTCTCCTTGCCTTCGTGCTCTGTGCCTCTGTCTGATCCCTCTGCCCAGCTTTGAGCCTGCAGGAAGCCTCCCTGGATGCCCCCTCCCATCTAGCTGTGTTCTATGCCCATCTCTGCCCCACGGCACTGTCATCTCACCCCACTGTCTCTAAGCTTTGTAAGGCTGTGGTGGGGGTGTCCCCAGTCCCTTGCCAGTCTGCAGCTTCAATGACTGCTCAGTGAGGTCTGGTCCGTAGTGTGGAGTTGGAGCCAGGGGTTAGCAGCTGCTGTCCAGGCTCCCCCAGGCCACAGATCCTAGGAGCTACATACAGACCCAGGAGGCAGTTGCCTATGGAGACTGGGAAGTCCTTGCCCCATCCTCCATCTGCAAGCCAGAGGCCCAGGAAAGCTGCCCAAGTCCAAAGGCAAAACATCAGAACCTGAGGATTGGAGAAGGTGGTGGGAGGTGGGGGGTCCAGGTTCAGGAGGGCGAGTCCACTTCCGGAGCCTGCTCAGGCCCTTGACTGATTGATGGTCACCCGCACTGGACAGGGGCTGGGGAATCTTCTGGTCTCCATCTGCCAGTCAGGTGGCATTCTTCCCCAGCAGACCTGCCACACACGTAGGAGCACTGTTGCCAGCCGACAGGCCTGCTTGTCACAGTGGCCCAGGTAACCACCCTCCCAGGCTCTGGGCTAGGTCCAGGATAGCCCAACTTGGGGGCTAGAGCTCTGCTAGGCACACACCCTACTGCATATGGCCAGGGCTGGCCCTTGGGCAGCTCAGGGTCACTGCAGGATGCACTGGGCTTCTTTCTCTAAGTGAAGGCAGGCAAGACAATTTAGCAAAATCAGCCCCTCTCAGCCTCCCATCAACTCCCCCTGCCATGGGATGAAAGCAGAGGGGCTATCTCAACCCCTCCCCCATACCCGCGCTCGCCATTTTCACGTCCCCCCAGGATTTTGTAGAGGCCCCGGGCTCCCAGCTAGTCAGGGCTGGAGACACCCCCGGTGGCTCCTCCCTGAAAGTACAGGGAGACCTGAGTCCCCCAAGCGGTGAACGGCCAAGTGCCCAGTGGGAGAAGTGACTTTGTTGCCATGGGCAGAGTTCACTCTGTAGGGACTCACCCGAGCTACAGGCAGGTTCTGGTGGCCTGCATAACAAGCCAGCTTTCCCTTCCAGGTCTGCTTGCTCACCTGTTCTTGTCCATTTCCAGAACACCCTGGACCTCGAGGAGACTGGCGAGGCTGTCCAGAGCAATGCCAATGCCCTCCCTGATGTGTCCGTGGTAAGGCCCTGGCTGGCCCTGTGGCAGTGGGTTGTGGCAGGGCCCTCGGGCTCATTCTCTCAGGCACAGCCACAGAACAGAGGTGGGATCAAAGGGTGGAGGACAGAGGTGCCTGCTCTGAGCCACCCCTGCAAGTACACCCACTCTGCCATCAGCAGCAGGGGCCAGAGAATCTGGACCTGACCACCTAGAGTCACCTGGTGTCACTTGGGCTCAGATCCCACTTCTGTCCCTGACTGTGTGACTATGGGCATGTTGTTGAGTCTGCACCTCAGTTTTGCTGTCTGTAAAACAGGGATGATAATAGCATCCTGTGCCATGCAGTAAGGCTGTCAGAGCTTGGTAGGGGTTGGCATGGTGTGGCAGAGGTAAGAGCTTCATTGTAATCACAGTCGCCACTCACTGTGTACCTGCTGCATAGGGACACCTTATAAACGAGGCCCCTTCCAGCCCCACACCAATACTGCCAGGTGACTGTGCTTTGTGCCCATTGCGTAGAGACACTGATACACCTTGTCCAGGACCACCCAGTCTCATAGCCCAGGTGATCCCTGATCGCTCTGTCACCGCTCACCCTTGCCTTATCAGACGCTGTGTCCCTGGTGGCCAAGAGAACCTCCTATAAAGAGAAGTCTGAGACATGCCTTGTGGACACATTCATACCTTCCCCATTTCACCCCGGATGAGGTCTCATTGTCTGTGACAAGCCCTGGCTGGTGCTAGGAACTCCAGTTCCCGAAGGTAATGATGCCGTCCCCAGAGACACCACCAAGATCCTGAGGCTGATGTGAGAGAGGTTTTCCACCAGGTGCTACATAATTCAGATGTGCGTGGACTGGAGCCCAGAGAACAGGGACAGAATTCCAGGCAGCCCAGTCGCTCCAACCTTCCCTCTCCCAGCCACCATGGACTCTGACTCCTTCTACTCCTGTTGGGTCTTTTGGCAGGATGACGTCAAACCCACCTGCGAGGGGCTGCCCAGCTGTAAGCCGCCACCTCCCCCACCCGCTCTGGGCCAGCTGAAGAAGCCAGGGCGAGAGGACCCCCCGGCGCCCTCCTCAGCCTCTTCCCACTCGGGCATCGTCTTCTCAGTTCCCAGGACACGCAGCCCACCGGCAGGCACTGCAGCCACCCTGGGGATCCCTTCCGCACAGGACTCGCCCTCCTCCCCCATCTACGCATCTGTCTCCCCTACCAACCCCGGCTCCAAGAGGCCACTAGATGCCCACCTGGCCAGGGTCAGCCAGCACCCCATCGGCCCCTTCCCTCGGGTCCAATCACCCCCTCACTTGAAAAGCCCCCCAGCTGAGGCCACGGGGGCCGGGGGCTGCCTGCCGCCACTCTCGCCTTCTGGCCACCCGGACCAAGTGGGCAGCAACCAGCACTTCGTTATGGTGGAGGTCCACCGGCCAGACAGCGAGCCTGATGTGAACGAAGTGAGGGCGCTGCCCCAGGCACGCAGTGAGTACCTCCCCTGGGCAGCAACAGGGTGGCTTCTGTGATGTTGGGCACATGCTGTCCTTGGAGCGCTTGGCAGAGCCAGGTCCTTGCCTGGCTGCCCCCCGGCTCAGGACCTGGGCAGCCAGGGGAGCAGTTCCCTGGGTACAATGTGAAGGCCGCCTTGGTGTGGGCAGAGACTTGAGTTGGAATCTGACTGTGTCCCGGACTAGCGTGTGGCTGCTCACCAGCTCGCTGCTCTGCACCTTGCTATCAGGAAGCTGAGAGATGGACATCAGCCCCAGCAGGATGCCACCAGCTCTGGGGGCCTCCTCTAGCTCCCTCTGCCCCCTGGTATTCACCCCTGAATTCCGGTGATATGAGTGAGCTTGCTCACGGCCGGATGGCTTCTGTTGTCCCTGGTCTCCGGGGCTGGGCACCAAGCAGGTGCTGGGGGAAAGTGTGGATTGTAGAAGAATCTTTGGCTCCCGGGCAGAAGGGACATGGGGCTATGGGGTCAGAATGCAGCATGGAGCAGGCAGACCCCTGGGAGGCCATCGCAGGCTGCTGCTCCTGCTTTGCCAGGTGAGGCAGCAGGGTGGGAGAGCAGCAGGGTGGGAGAGCTGCTTTTCCCCACAGAAGGCATTAGGTCTCCTCCCTCCTCTTGGAGACTGGGTACATTTTGGTGGAGTCTGCTGCCATCTTGTGGGTGCAGCCATACTTCGCTGTGACCATAGGAAAAGACAGGCCAAGCAGGGGACATGCACTGAATAGGTTCAGAATGCAAGGTGTTTGCATCAGCAGTTTGCTAATGCAGGAAGCAGGATGCAGGAAGAGGAGCCAGCGTGGGCATTGCACTAGCAGACACACGTGACTGTGAGAGGTATCAGGTTCATTCTGAGTGCTTTCTGTGGCCCAGCACAGCTCTGAGGGCCTTGCCAGCATCACTAACTCGTGGAATCCTCCCAACAGCCCTGCGAGGCTGGTGCTGTTGCTCTTCCCATTTCACAGATGAGGAGAGTAAGGGGCTTTCAGCAGGGAGAACCAGGCAGTCTAGCTCAAGGCTATTCTTTCCACTGCTTCCCTGTACATCTGCGATCTGTCTGCCTTTCTGATGGCTGCCACTGCTCCTGTGCTAGGACCAGAAGGCAGAGGCTCAGAGAGGTTGTGGTGTCCTCCAGGGCTCGCACAGCATCAGGAGGCTCCAGATCTCACCTGCCAGACTCAAGTGTGGCTTGCTGAGGAGAGCATCTGTGGGTAGTCACCCCCACTTTGTTCAGGCCTGGGGTCCTGCTGGGGCCCAGACCTTCCTGTGTTGTTATTGGGAAGCTGGAGGTTTCATTTAAAAAAAAATGAAGAGACTTTTAAAAATTCATGGAAAATGAAGTTAGAAGTTTACTTTGATGTCTGTGTCTGCAGCATCCATAGAATATGAGCATTAGGAGAAAATATATATGTGGATTTAAAAATGTCTTGCATCAAAATAAACTTTAAAATTTGTTTATTTTCATTTTATTTGAAAATCAAAAGACAAAGGGAAATCTTCCATCCACTGGTTCACTCCCTTAAAGTACACAACAGCCAATGATTGGCCAGGACAAAGCCGGGAGCCTATAAGTACCCCCTTTGTCTCCACATTGGCGGTCAGGGACCCTAGCACCTGCAACCTGGAAGCTTTGGACCCAGGACTCGAACCAGGCACTCCAGTATGAGACGTGTGTTTCCCATGCAGTGGCTTGTTGGCTGTGCCAATCAGCTACTCCTAAACGTATCTTCTCAAAAACTTTCTTATTAACATGCAGATGATATGTGCATCTTCATGGGACACAGCTGCAATTCAGAAATGTAACTTTTATGAGAAATCTCCTGCTTGGAATGTGTCAGGTTGTTGTTTAAAATTAACTCATGTAGAGCCACGCCTGTGAGCTGGGTGTGCCTGCTGACCTCTATTCAGCCACTACATTGAGACTAGGGGGTCGAGGTTGGAAGCAGTGGCCAACGAGCCAGGTTGTATTGAAAGGGCAAGTCTTCACCGGGTGGGGAGTCTCCCAGCCGCCCACTCCCAGCCTTTCAATCCCCTCATTTCTCCCTCTGTTTGCTGAGGGAAACTGCCCCCAGTCTTCTAGACTCTGGCTCCATCACCACCTCCAGGAAGCCCTCCTTGGCCTCAGCTGGCTAAGCTATTGCTCTCTCCTTTCTCCTCCTGCCAGCAGCCTCCACACTCTCACAGCTCTCAGACAGCGGGCAGACCCTGAGCGAGGACAGTGGCGTGGATGCTGGGGAGGCTGAGGCAAGCGCCCCAGGTCGGGGCAGACAGACAGCACCCACCAAGAGCAGAAATAGCAAGGAGCTACCCCGGAGTGAGAGGACCCCAGAGGCGGCCAGCAAACCAGTAAGTGACAAAGCAGGTGAGTGGGTGGTGGGGAGGAAGGCAGGCCTGGGTAGAGACAAGTGGGATCCACATTCAGCTTTGCAGATGACCTCTAGGGAGGTACCAAGGCCCCTGTTGCTGGAGGAATTTGACAATCAGAAGTACTGGGTTAGGAACCCAGAGACTTAAATCCCACCTTCACCATGAACTTGGACCACTGAGGGCCGGAGGTACATCTTGCCCTGGCCTGGCATACTCTAGTCCTGTTGCCAGCAACACGCTGCATGGGGCAAACCTTAGTCCTCGGAGAGCCCAAGGCAGCAAATACTTAGCTTAGTGGCTGGCACTGCAGACATAGTGTGTCCTGCTAGCCCGGGGTCCAGTCAAGGTCCTGCCTGGCCGCTGGTTGGGCCTCAGAGATGTCCTTCCTCACACTTGGCAGCCTGGACTGCTGGAGCCCACGTCCACCCTGGTTCGCGTCAAGAAGAGTGCAGCCACCCTGGGCATTGCCATCGAGGGGGGTGCCAACACACGCCAGCCCCTGCCTAGGATCGTCACTATTCAGGTATGTCCCTGAAGGCTCATTCCTCAGTACCCCCAGAGATGACCTGGCACCCAGACTCCTCACATGAGTGCTCTGCCAAGCCTCTATTTTCCCCATCATGGCAATGGACACCCGGTCGCTTGATTGGTGGGCAATGTCGGGCCTGGCCTTGGGTGGGTTAAGTCAGCCCACAGGATCCTCGGGCCACCCCTGGCCTGTGTCTTACCCCTGCAGAGAGGCGGCTCAGCCCACAACTGTGGGCAGCTCAAGGTGGGCCACATAATTCTGGAGGTGAACGGGGTGCCACTGCGGGGCAAGGAGCACCGTGAAGCTGCCCGCATCATCGCTGAGGCCTTCAAGACCAAGGACCGTGACTGCATCGACTTCCTGGTCACCGAGTTCAACGTGATGCTCTAGGGCCTCACCTGCCCGGGCCCTAGACCCTCCCTGCTCCTGATAACTTGGAGCTACAGGGTCAGGGTAACAGGAAGACGTCCCTCCCTCCACCCCAGCCTGCTGGACCAGCACCTGGAGAAGATGAGAACCCAGGCAGGGCAGACAGAAGGGCGGGGCGGGAGCTGTGTGCAGAGGTCTGGCTTTTCCATGTTGCCTGGTGGCACAGCTGCCCCCTGCCAGCCTGGGACCCAGTCCACCCTGGTCTGGAATCAGGTCACATGAGCAGTCATGGAGGAGGCCCCCCTCTGCGGGGACAGGAGTCTTGCAAGACCTTTAGTGCCACAAATAAGCATCGAGCACCTCCTCATTCATGCCCATTCCTTCTGGCTCCTTCTCCCCGCCCCCCACGCTATTTATTATTTATTGCCGCCTTCTTGCCACAGCAACCCCAGCCTACCCCAGAGGCCTTGCCGGTGACCAGCAATGTCCGTGTATTTATATACAGAGCTACGACTTTAATTTTTCAATAAAGAAATCTGTACAAGGTTAGGGCCAGCATGTTGTGTGGGCTGCCTGTGGGGCTGGGCTTCTGATGGCTGCGTGCAGGGCCGGGTGAGCGGGGGAGACAGGGCACCTCCAGCATCGCCACTGCCACCACTCCCCCACCCCACGTAGTCCAGTTGGAATATGTGCTGAGGAGCGGGGGTGCACATGCAAGAGCCACACCACGCACGGGCTTGGAGCCTCTCCCTCAGAACCTGGCGGGTCAAGTGTTTGCTGGCCACCTGCTCAGACAAAGACACATACAGATGTGACAGAGCGAAAACACACACAGGGGAATCATCAGACTCTGATGCAGTCTACAGCTGGCAGCACCCAGAAACTGATTGTGCAACATGCTGCATCCCAGGGAAAACCAGCAAGGGACATGGAGGTGGGAGCAGGACAAGGAAGGATCCCCTGCTGGAGGCTGGCGTACTGTCTGGGGCCCCAGCCATGTGTCGGTCAGGGTGACGGCGACTGAAGGAGGAGGCCTGTGGCTGGTGGACTGCCAGGCTTCTCCAGGTCTCAGTCCTAGTGTACCTGTTTTTTCCCGGTGCCTGTTAGGTCAGCCACTGACCTGCTCTCTGACCCACAGGCTCAGGCCCTTCTACCCTGGCCTTGGGTCAGCCACCTGCCCACTCAGTCCCACCCTCTCTAGCTGCTCTCCACAGCACGTGCAAGAGCAGGACAGGAGAGAGTTTCTGCAGATGCCACTGCTGGACCTGCCCGGCTTGATGCTGGGGCTGTGCCCACTGTGGGTGGGGAATCCCCTTCCCAGTGCAATTTTGCTTTGTTATTATTATTATTATTTTTTCATTTGAAAGGCAGAGTGACAGAGAGAAAGAGCTTCCATCAACTGGTTCACTCCCAAAATATCAGCAACAGCCAGGGCCATGCCAGACCAAAGCCAGGAGCCTAGAGTTCCCTCCTGCCTACGTGGGTGGCAAGGACTCAGGAACTTGGCAGGAAGCTGGATCTGAAGCTGAGGCAGCAGCTTAACCCACTGCACCACAATACTGGCCCCCTCAGCAGCTTTCTAATCACCTCCCACCCAGCTCCCTTTGTAAGTAAGCTGGGAAAGTCAAGTTGTTTGGCCAAAGTTAACTGGTCAGGAAGGACAAGTTTGGACCCAAGGCTGCCTGAGCCCCAGGAGGACCTGCTCTTTCTGAAACGACTGGAAGCCCCAGGATGCTGGTGGGTAGGCAGGGACATACCACCCTGAGCCCAGGCAGAGGGCCACCTGAGTGCGTGCACCTTGTACATCTGGCCTGCTTGCTCCCAAGGGCCAAAGTGGGGCGGGGTGGAACAGCCAGAGAGTCGGGGTGCTCCTTCCTTGCAGGAGAACCCGGGACAGGGGATACATTCCATCCAGCCTCAGTTTCCCCTTCTGATCAAGAGTCTCCCAGACCGCCTGGCTGCTGAGTGTCTGGGACATGGCCACTTCCACAGCAGTGTGAACACGGGCCTGGGCCCCTTGCTGTCCTGCCCTTCCTGGTACAGAAGCCTGATGCAGAGGAAGGCAGGGAATGGGCCTGCTCACACAGGTGCTGAGTGGGCTCTCAAATGACACGGGCCCTCTCTGCGTGGGGTGAGGAGTGAGGTGGCCTGGATGTCGGGGTACATCTCCATGCTGTCCGATGGGGGCTGGTCCCATCATCCTAGCATCCCCCATAGGAGAAGCCTGCGCTAGCAGCCACTTACAATAGGACCCAAATCACAATCAGCGCGCCGAGAAAAGTTTATTATTGCTCTTACTACCCGGCCCGTTTCCGCCCTAAAGCGTGGGACTTCCTTCTTCCCGCAGCTCGGCGCAGTCACATGTCACCCCGCCCCGGGGCCTCCGCCCTCCCCATTGCGGCAGGCAGAGCGGGACCCAGACCCACCCGACCCGGCGCCGCTCCGCAGCTTGCATGCGTGCGCGCGCCTGGAGCCCGAGGGTGCAGCGGCCAGCTCCCCGGGGCGGGCCGCAGGAGGGCAGCGCCCTCCCGGCGATTGGCGGAGCCGCCGAGTCCCAACCCCGGGGCTCGTCCCCCGTCGCGGCTGGCGGGTCTCGGGGATTATGCAAAGTGGCCGCTGCCCCGCCCCGCGCCCGGATTGGAGGCCTTTGTTTGCCGCTCAACTCCAGGAAACCACCCGCGCGCCGCGGCCGCCGGCAGGTGAGACGCGGGGAGGGGCTCGCGGAGGGTCCTGGGCCGGGCCGGCCCCCGGCGAGGGCTCAGTGTTCCCGTCGGGAGAATGGGAAGCGAGATCGGATGGCGCGGGCAGGCTCCGCTCCCCGGGGACGGCTCTGCTTTCGCGTGGAAGTCCCCACGCGCGGGAAAAAGACAGATCGCCGCTCCGAAATGGAAGGGAGCCCAGGACCGGCAATCCCGGCCCGAGTTCGCCGCCCACAGGCTGCGCGGCTCAGCAGGCGCCACCCTCGGCCTCAGTCTCCACCTCCGCGCAATGGGGGCGTGGACCCTTTTCCTCTGGCTCTCGCCCGGGCTGGTCGCGGGTAACGGAGGGGGTCCCCGGGGAGTTCGGGAGTGGTCCTTGGCTGAGCCGTGGGCTGTGTTTGGGTTGGAGGCGTGGCTCGCGTTGCTGTGGTTACTGGAGAGGTGGAGCTTTTCTGTCCTGGGATTTGAGCAAGAGTTGGTTTACCCGGCAACATCCCGCGCAGCTAGGCAGCCCGAACCGGACGCACTCGCGCAAGTTTCTTTTCCTCTTTTTGGTAGAGGGAGGAAGGTAGAGCGAGGGCCAGCCTGGAATAGGCAGTCTGGGCAGGGGCAGGAACTGGGACAGGCAGCAAAGTCGGGTCAGTTGGACCTGAGGTCCAGAGACGGGGTGCGGTTGGCCAATGGGGACGCACCGAGCCGGCAAGTGCAAAGGCAGGGCTTGCCTGAGCTGTGGGACCTTGGGCGAGACTCTTGCCAGGTTTCTTTAAAAGAAATGACAAGTTGGAGGGGACCCTTACCTGTGTGTAGAAACCTGTGTCTAGAAAGTTGTGAGGTCTTTTGGAGCCGAGAAGAGGAAACAAGGCATTGTTTTTACCCTGCACAGCAGAAAGAGAAGAAATGGGCTGAAACTGAAGCATGAAGGGTGGAGGTTAGCTGTGGGGAGGGACTTCCCAGAAGCATTTTCCATCTAGCCTGTCCTCTGGAGTTGGTGGGTTTTCTTATTTGGCTGTGTTGGTTTGTTAGAAAAACAGAACAGCTGTGCGTGCTGGAGGGGCGGGACTCCAGCCCCGGGGTGGAGCCCAAGGGGCTGTGGGCATGGTCTCTTGTCTCTCGGAGTCTGCTCCCAGCGGGGACCGAGGTTCTGCCAGAGTCCGAGATCGCCCACGTGGGGCCTCTGGATGACGTCGTCACGGCAGGCAGCCGGTTTGCATTTGAGACACATGACTGGGGCCGTATCTTGCAAGGGGATTTCATCAGCTCCCACCATGCAGCAGATCCTGCCCAAGGCACCAGCGCTGGGCTTTCCAGAGAGGCGGGTGGGCGATCCCAGCATGCGGGGCTGAGAGGGGAATTATTGAAAACTGGTGTGCGACGTGGACATTCCTGCTTACTCCCTGAGGCAAGACATAGGGTCCCTGTAAGGCCTGGGAGGGTCAAGGGGAGGTGCTTTTTAGGTTTCTTCGGTCCTGTAGGGTGGGAACTGCTTGGAGGATGGGAGTGAAAAGACCTGCATTCAAATTTCTGACCTGGCTTCCGTTCTGAGAACCTCAGTTATCCCCCTCTGGAAAATGGGCATGGAAATAGCACCACTTGCAAGCACAAGGGAGGAGGCTTTGCTTTGGTCGCATGCTGAGCTTGGAGATGAGGGAATTCTAGCATTGTCAACTAGCATTTGTCAAGCGCTCTAGTCCAGCCATGACACCAAGGGTAGTACTGCAAGAAATCAGGTCTGAGAGAGGGAGAGCTCAGGGTGTTTCATCATGGCTGTCACCCACCAGTGCCCTGTACAGACCCCTGTGCCTCAGCAGTCCCCAGTACATCGCCATTGATCATGTGGATGGTATCATTTGGTTTCATGCAGTTGAGGCAGATGGTGGTGTCATGCTCTTTTCACAGAGAGGTTGTCACTTGCCCAGGGTCACACAGGCCTTCCCTGAGCGAGTGGCTCCTTCTCTTTGGGAGGTGCAGTGGCGTGTTGGCCTCCCGCTGCTGAGGCCTGACTGTACCCATGGCTTCGGAGTACAGTGTGTTGTGTTCAGTAACCGTGTCCTGGAAGCTTGGAACGGCCATGGCAAAGGTTTGTACACTCCAGAATTCAGTGAGTGCCATGGATCTGGGTGCTTTCCTGTCTGCTCCTCGCCTTCTTCCTCCTTTGCCACCTCCTAAGAGGGAGGCAGAAAGAGAGCTGCAGGTGAGGGCCCCGGAGCCCAAGGTCACATCTGCCTGCCGTCCTGGCATGCTGCCCCGTCCCAGCCTCAGTTCCTTGACTCGATCTCTCTGGCCGGTGTCAGCCAGATTTCCACTCGATTGCTCGGTGAGGCTCTCTGCTCCTGGTGCTGCTCCCACTGGGCCCAAGGAGATACCAAGATTAAGGATAGAATAAGGTCCTCAGGTTCTTAGGAGCACAGACAAGGACCCATGACTGCGGAGAGGGTGCAGGGCCCAGAGGGACCCTACTCAGCTTCCCTAAGTAAGGGGATGCAGATCCAGCTCTAAACCTGGGGAGCTGTGGGACTGAGGACAAGTGATGCGACCTCTCTGGGCCTTTCCTCACCATCACCTGCCTGGGTGTGTTTGAGGTCCCCATCAGGACAATAGGAGTGCCTGAGGCCAGAGCCCACGGCCTCCTGTCCCCATGCCTTCCCCAATGTTCCCAGACGTCGCACAGCGGCTGCTTGTGCAGACTGCACCACGTGGTGTCCATGTTTAGGATGAGGAGCAGGTGTACGAGACACAACAGGCCAGGTCTACAGAGACCTCAAAGCTCCCAGTCCCCCTCCTGGCTCTCGTGTGTGTGTGTGTGTGTGTGTGTGTGTGTGTGTGTGTGTGTGAGAGAGAGAGAGAGAGCAGACAGGTGCCCCTAGCCTCATCAGCACGCACAACCTGAGACCCCCAAGTTTGCTTTCATCCTCTTGGGCCTAGTAAGTCCTCCCTTCGTGTTTGTCTTCACAGCAAGTGTTATTTGTAGGAAACAGACATGAAAAGGATAAACGGGCTAGACATTCTCCCTCCTAGTGTTGACTGTTATATTTTGAAATACACTCTTTTTTTTGTTTCTTCTCTCCCTTCATATTTTACTGTTATTGTAGATTATTTTCTTGAATGAGCTCAAATTAGAGAATTTTTTATTTGAAGGGATTACAGAGAGCAAGAGACAGAGAGCTTCCATTTGCTGCTTCACTCCCCAAATGACTCCAGTGGCCAGAGCTGGGCTGATGGGAAGCTGGGAGCACTTCTTCCAGATCTCTCATGTGGTGCAAGGGCCCAAGGCCTTGAATTATCTTCTGCTTCCCCAGGCATATTAGCAGGGAGCGGGATTAAAGATGGAGCAGCTGGGACTAGAATCAATGCTCATCTGGTGCGCCAGCACTACAGGCAGAGGATTCCCCCCAGTTCCCTTGCTTTCTTCTCTCTCCACTCTCCCTCTTCCCATCCCTCCCCCCCCCCCCGCATTGTTACAATAATTTATCCTTCAGCTGAAGTCATCATTCCAACAGATGTATGCTATTTTGTAACTGCCTTCATAGTCAGATCATTTCATATTCTTCTAAACGATGCCTCTTGGTGGCTTCCTAAATTCCTAAGGGTGCAGGAAGACTTTATGTCAGTGATCCCCTGTCACTGGACGTGGAGGCTGTGTCCAGTTTTTCCCTCGAGTGTCAGCATAGAGTGCATTCAGGCAGCGGGCTCAGCCCCAACTTCCACATCCGTGACACAGGCACAGTCAGTTCTGCCTCCTGGGATGAGGGCCCTACCCGTGGAAAGCTTCCATGAGGCCTGTGCACACAGCAGGTGCTCAGTAAGGCTGTTGCTTCTGGCCACGTGCTCCTGGCAGGTGCACATTGGTGAGTTTAGTGAAAAAGACCTAACCATGTGTGTGTATGTGATTATGTGTGTGCACATGCGTGTATGTGAGACTTGTAAGTGTATATGCTTATGTTCCTCAGTGTGGCTTCCCCTTGCTTATAAGGAAATCTGTGGCTCAGAGAGGTTGAGTGATTCGCCCATGGCCACAGAGCTTCTGCGGGAGAAGGTGCGGTCTGTTGTCAACTGACAGGCTCGTCACTGGACATGCAAAGGACTAGAATCTCTTGACTGTTTCTTCTCTGGGTGACCAGGAAGTCATCTGTACCCCTCATCCTCAGTGTTCCCACCTACCCAGGGGAATGCTGCCCTGGTCCTACCCACTTCCCAAAGTCCTGAAGTCATGTGGTACCATGCCAGCTGCAGAAGCGCTTTGGAGCCAGGGCCTCACCAGTGCTTTGTGCCATCAGTAACAAGCCTGGTTTGTGATTTCCTTGTGCTCAAGTGTTCATCGTGTCTGCAGGCTGCTGAGTATGGGCACCAAGTTGGATGGTCGTCAGGAGCTGGGGTTTGGTGTGTTCATCAGCCTTGGGCAAGGTACCAGGCCCCTCTGCTTGCCCAGCTGTAAAATGGGCATGTAATGAGGACTAAGGGATGTTAAGTCTGGCTGTGCCTACTGGTCACCTGGCGAGCATGCATTGCATTTCTGCTGTGTAGGACAGGACACTGGGGACATCACGTTGAGTGGCGCACACAAGTCTCCGATGGAGTGCAGAGACCTGAGTTAGTGAAATCATCCCACACAAAGGTGATAAGGCTCTGGGTATGGCAGGCTGGAACTGTCTGCATGTGGCCTGGTTGGAGGAGACATGGGTTGGATGCTGGGGAGGGATAGGGTGCACCTGCCCCAAGAACAGGGCAGCATGGAGGCCAGGGCTGCGAAGTGAGTGCACATAAGATTGAGGGAAGAGGCTGAGCCTCCTGAAGGTCCTGAGGAGTTATGGGATGCAGGGAGCCTATGAGCCTTGTGGGTGAGGCTGATGCAGAGAACCACGTGGGGAGGCAGGCCCAGGGCAGGTCAGCTTCTACAGAGACTGAGGGAGCAGAACCAACAGGACCTGGTAACACGCTGCGTGTGGGGACAAAGGAAAGGCAAGTGGGTGGGATGAGAGTGCACGTTGAAGTTTAGGGAAGGAGGGGTTGGCGATGTCTTGAGCTCAGCTTGGGGACATTGCTTTGCTTAAGCAGACTTTGGTCCGTGTGTGGGGACAATGTTCCAATGTGGGGACAAACACTAGGGAGGAAGATGGGTAAAGCTTAGTGGGGACAAGGAGGAGAAGCGTGTGCCAGAGGAGGCTGGCCCTAAGATGGGCGTGCCAGCAGCAGCTGCCACTTGGTGCCCATGGCAGCTGCCGGGATTCACAATCATAAAGCGAGCATGAGTGAATGACAGGGTGTCAGCAGGGCCTGCCCCTTGCACAATGGCTTGCACAGGGGGCCTCATCAGGGCTTGGCTCTGCTCCCTGGTGTGGTGGGGCTTTCGGGGAGACAGCGAGCCTGGCTTTCCTACTGTGGATCCTTAGCAGGCAGGGGAGGGGTGGAGATGCAAGTGGATGACCGGATGGGGGTGCCCTGTGCCAGCCTCTGCTCTGCTGGATGCTGCCAGGCTGGCCTTGGAGAAGTCCATTCACTCAGTTATTAGCCAGAAACCACAGGCCAAGCTCCAGGGACGGTGTCAAGGCCCAGCCCTGACAGGAGCTGGGAGCTGCACCTGAGCAGAGGCAGCAACAGTAGATGTACTAACTGGCTCAGCCCCTGCTCTGTACCTGGCAGGATTTACTCGCTGCATCTGGACAGCGGCCTGCTGCCATGGTTGCTCTTGGTATTCCTATTTCACAGGAGAACAAACTGAGGTTCAGAAAGAGGAAGCCTCCAGGGTCCCAGAGCCTACAAGGGGTGGCACTGAGATGTGAACCCAGGTCTTTGTGGGTTTTCAGGTTCAATTTCCTTCAACAAACGTGAATGCTCAGCAGAGGCACCTGGAAGGCCCAGTACACGACCCAGAGAACCCATGATTTCCCTGTTTTGTTTTTGAAAGAGGCTCACAATCCCCGAGCTGAGAGAGCCAGTGGTGTGGGAACCAGCTCTTAGATCGCTTCTCCTATCCCGTCTCCTTCCTCTCTCCATTGGCTCCCTCTGTTCCCGAGGCCAGAGCCTTGCTGCTTCCAGGGAGAGCCCAGTGGGCTCCCGCCTTGGGCCTTTGCACCTGCTCTCCCCGAGAGCTCTGCCAGCCTTCCCGTACTCACTCTTGCCTGCTGCCTCCTGCCTCCTGGTTCTTATGGCTCCTTGCTTGAATATTGCCTCAAAGGGCCGTCACCCAGGCATCCCCAAACCTGCCTTCCCAACCCACACTCTTACTCCCACAAGTTCCCCTACCTGAGTCACACTCCCCCTTGCCCATCACCTGTAAGATCATTGGTTCTCGGGGACTGATTCTGTTGGCCTGGCTGGAGGGAAGATTCAGAGCCCCCGAAAGCAGTGTGGGATGTGGCTGGCCACTCTTTCCTACCTGTTCTCACTTGTTCACACTTGGCTCCCCAAAATGACAGAGTGAATTGCTTATTGTCTGTGTTGCTGTTAGTATGGAGAACTGACCTGCCTTGTACCTTGCAGTATTCCGAGCACCTTGAAAAGCACCTGCCAACCCAGGGGCGCAGCTCAGAGTTCCTGTCACGTGATCGAATGAGATTCGGGGGACCTGGGCAAAAGCAGCTTGGCCTTTGGGCTGTGTCTGAGCCCTGGGAGGATACTTACCACAGGGGAAATTTTCCTGATCAGCTGATACCCCCCTGCCCCGCCCCCGCACAGTCTGGATAATCCTGTAGTTGCAAGCCTACCTCAGAGAGAGGACAGTGGGTGAAATAGCAAACGTCACTGCAGCCTCTCTGAGATGTCAAGTCACATATTGGCAAACAAGATGGAGCACCAGAGCTGGAAGGGTGTGAGCAAGCATCGTGTCTGAGTTTCCTTTGCCAAGATGGGCACTGGCCCAGGTAAGGGAGGGAATCTGGGCTAGGGTCATGTGCATTTGAAGAGGGCCTGTAGGTCTAAGGCCAACTCCCAGATTTGGCCTGCTGTGTGGACTTGGCAAAGTTCTAACCTTCTCTGTGCTCTTGGTGTCCCCGTCTGGGCTCTGAGGGTGGTGGCTGAGAAGGTCCCAAGTCCAAGACTGGAGAAGCTCCCCAGAGCCTGCAAGGGGTTAAGCTCCGGGCTCCTGCTCAGCAGCCCACAGCCCCCTCCTTCTGACAAACACTTGTAGCAAATCAGGCCTGGCGCTTCCTGCCGCAGCCCAGCGAGGCAGCCTCAGGCAGCGTCAGGCAGCCTCGGCTGCGCAGGGTGGCGGGTGAGTGGCTGTGGGGCGGGGAGAGCGGAGCGATGCTTGTCTGTGTGCTGAGTCTCAGGCTGGCAGAGTGGCCTGGAGGCGGGCCAGCGCGCGATGGAAGCCGGGGGCTCCCCGGGTTTGGAACAAAGACCTCCCAGGCAGGTCCCCTGAGCCCGGGGCCGACAGGACAACCGTGGAGCCCTAGAGAAAGGTAAGGGAATTGAAGAGAGGCGGGTAGCCGTGGAGGCCGCCTTCCTTGGCGTGGACTCGCGGGACGTCCCGGGCTGGAGCAGCCCAGCCCAGCCCAGCCCAGCCCAGCCCCGCCAGGAAGTTGCAGCTACGGACTCTATTCTGTCTGACTTCTCTCCGGGACTTAGGGGAACCTGCACCCCGCGCCCCGCCCCCCGGGGCAACGGTGAATTTTAGAGGATTTGGTCAAGCCTCGGGATGCCAGCTAGTAGTCCCGGATTCTGAACTCGTGTGAGTGTAGGGAAGCAAAGGTCCCTCTTCATGTGGGGTACCTCCCGCCCTTGCTTGTTCAGGGGCTCAGGGATGTGCAGGGGAGGGGGAGGCAGGGTCCCCAGAGAGGGAGAGGAGCCAGGGGCGTCTTGAAAGCCCTCAGATCGGGATGGTGAATTCTGAAGGGTCCCCACAGCCAGGCCCCTCTTCTCATCTCAATGTCTGCCACATGTGTGGGCCGGAGCCTGGGGGGCTGGGGTAGGATGAAGGTGGGGTACCAGTGTTTGCCCGGCTGTCAGGGATCCCTGGAGAACAACAGATCTGTGTCTTTGCCAACTGGTGGGGGAGGTGCTGAGCCCGCAGCCCTGCCCTGCCCTGTCTGGAGGGTCTAGCTACATGATTGGGGTGGGGGAGGTGAGGAGGGGATGGGGAGCTGAGCTCTTTCTTTCCACTTCCTCCCACTCCCAGACAAGGCCGACTGCCTTGGTTTCGGCCGTGGGGCTCCGAGCTTTGAATCGCCTGGCCGCAGGGTCTTGAGTGAGCCCACCACTTCCTCTGTGCCTCAGTTTCCTCATCTGGAGACAGGAGGATGGGAGGGTGCAGCCACGGGCAAGGCTGTGAGGGCAGAGAGTCTGGGGGTCTGGGAGGGGAGGAGACTGGGACAGTAGTAGCTGAGGGGGCAGCGAAACAGCCTCTCTCTAGGATGGAGGAAAGAGGAGTCCAGAGTCAGTGAGAACCTGGGGAGAGGCAGGCAGAGGGTGGGAGATGTACACAGGTGGCCCGTGGCTGGCATGTCTTCCAGGGCTAGTTTCTCCATGCCAAGGACCCTGAGCACTCCAGCCTAACCCTTAGAGGGGATTTAGTCCTAAAGGGACTGACCCTTCTGGGTCAGCATCCAGCTCATGTGGCAGGAGCCTTCAGCAGTCCAGCCCCGCAGCCATAGCTGTCCTTCGAGTTCAGTTGATTCTTTCAGAACACCGTGCTCTTTGCTGTATTGCTGCCCTGTCTGGATGCCCTCCCCTTCTTCTCACCTAAATGCTCTAAGTCCCTCCAGCCCTTCTCAGGAAGGGGCCTCAGTCTTGGGTACCATCCCTGCCATCTGAAATTTTGGACCCCTCCTCCTCCCCTCAGTATTCTTCACATCTTGGGGAGTTAGACTGGCGGACAAAGGAAGCTGCTGGATTTTTTTTTTTTTGTTTTAATTTGCACCCACTGGAGACCCTGTCTGTTTCTTTGGAGCCCTGCCCCACAGGAGGGCGATGCCTACGTTTAAAGAGCAAGGGCCAGGAGTGTTTCTCCATTTTGCAAGGAGGGAAGTGCAGTCCAGCCATGCTCTGTGGTTCCTGCTGCACCTTTGTCCCAGGTGGAGGCTGGCCTGTGATGGACATTTGTGTGTGTTTGTTGACTGACTGATAGAATAGTCTTGAGCTCCAAGGCTTTGCTCAGGAATGTCTTACAAATCAGAGGGCCTGGGGGATAAGGACAAAACTGCAGCCTGCGGCCACAGCTGCTCATGGCCAGGGTCCCTGGTCACAGTGAGATTGGTGTGACGACTGAGTCATCCCAGAAGACAGGATGTTCCTCTTTGTGCACGCAGAAGCTTCTGTGATTGGACAGGCTGCTCTGCGGCCAGAGCTATGAAAAAGACCCAAGAAGTCAGAAAACCACCCACCACACCCAGCTCCTTCCTCAGTGCTGGTTTCAGAAAGGGAGAAGCAACGGCTAACCTGAAACACCTGCCCCAGGTCACAAAGAGCTGGTGGACTTTATTTTATTTGTTTACTTTTATTATTTGAAAGGCAGAGTTACAGAGAAAAGAAGAGGCAGAGAGAGAGAGGGGTCTCTCATCCCCTAGTTCACCCCCCAAATGGCTGCTACTGGCCAGGGCTGGGCCGGTCTGAAGCCAGGAACCAGGAGCTACTTCCCGATCTCCCATTGTGGTCACAGGGTCCCAAGGACTTGGACCACACTCTGTTGCTTTTCCAGGTCATAAGCAGGGATCTGGATCAGAAGTGGAGCAGCTGGGACTTGAACCAGTGCCCATATGAGATGCTGACTCTATAGGTAGCTGTCTATGCCAAGACACCAGCCCTATGGTGGACTTTGACAGGTTCTGGTATCAATATGTTCGCGGCAGGGAGGACAGGGGCAGGCTCTGAGGTGGGCTTCTGAACAGCTCTTAATCCTCATGCCTGTGTTAAAGCATGCATATATTTATTTCTTTTTATTTACTTGGAAGGCAGAGATCTTCCAGCTGCCAGTGCCCCTCCTCAAATGTCCACCAAAGCCAATGGCCAAGGGCCGTTCTGGGTGTCCCACCTAGGCAGCAGAGACTCACTCCTGCATTCTGGGAGTGCATCAGCAGGAAGCTGGATCCAAGATGGAGCGAGGACTGATTTGGGATGTGAGCATCCCGAACGGCATGTTGGCTGCTGCATCAAGTGCAGATCCCAGGACAACTAAGCCAGGCTGTCTGCAGGTGGAGCCAGGAATCTGCTAGCAGAGGAATTCTTTTGTTTTACTTTTAACATTATTTTATTTATTTGAAAGGGAAAGCACCAAAGAGGGAGGGAGAGACAGAAAAAACAGGATCTTCTATCTGCTAATTCAGTCCGCAAATAGCTACCATAGTCAAAGCTGGGCCAGGCTGAAGCCAGGAGCCAGAAACTCCATCTGGGTCTTCTACCTGTATAATAGAGGAGCCTCAAGCACTCCAGTCATCTTTTTTTTTTTTTTTTAAGATTTATTTTTTATTGGAAAGGCGGATATACAGAGAGGAGAGACAGAGAGGAAGATCTTCCGTCCGATGATTCACTCTCCAAGTGAGCGCAACGGCCGATGCTATGCCAATCCGAAGCCAGGAGCCTCTTCTGGGTCTCCCACGTGGGTGCAGGGTCCCAAAGCCTTGGGCCGTCCTCGACTGCTTTCCCGGGCCACAGGCAGGGAGCTGGAAGGGAAGTCGGGCTGCCGGGATTAGAATCTGCGCCCATATGGGATCCTGGGCGTGCAAGGCGAGGACCTTAACCACTGTGCCATCGCGCCAGGCCCACTCCAGTCATCTTTTGCTGCCTTCCCAGGCACATTAGCAGGGAGCTGGGCTGTAAGTGGAACAGCCGTGACTCAAGCCACTACTCTGATTTCGGTGTTGTGAATGGCAGCTTAACCTGCTACACCATAGCAGCAGCCCTGCTGAAGGAATGCTTAGGCCCACTGGGGCTAAGGTCACTGGCAGGGCTCTGGGTTCCGCAGATGGCATGGGGAGCAGAGACTAGAATTGCTGTTTACAGTATTTTCTATGGAATCTTCTTAATGTTCACTCTTGGAAATATTCTAGCACCTGTAATGCAGTAGAGTGAGGCTTGATGTCTAGAGGATTGAAAACCAGCATGGAGGTTGCCAGATCCAAGCTGACCAGGACTTGCAAAGTTTGTCCTGGCACTGGCCAGCTGGGTGATATTGGTCACATCCCACTCCCATGCTTGTCATTTGGGAAACCGTTTTCCTGTGATCTCCATACACCCTACCTACCAGGGCAGGTGGAGGAGATGAGGACAGAACTACACCCAATGGACACAACATATATGGTGGGGGTTGGGGGTGCACAAGGAATGACCTGGCCTATCTCTGCACTGGGAGATGCCATGAGGAAGGCAGGGTAGGGCCAAGTGAGGGAAGGTGCCGTGCTCCCATCCCAGAGCCAGGGAGCCAGGGGAGCAGGGACTGCAGGCAGCAGAGGAGGAAGTTGTTTCTGTCCCTGCTCCAGCCCCGTGGAGTCTGTCTTTCTGGGGCTGCTGCAACCCCAGGGGAGCTGTGTGTCCAGAAATAGTCTCCTGCTGACTTTTCTGGACTGAGCACGTCAGGGCTGCTGACCAGGAGCCAAGCTCTCACGAGGCCGGCAGCACAAACACAGGCGCATCTGTCCTCGGGGCCTAGATTCTAACTGGCTTGGCAGCGGCGTGGAGGAAGGAGCCCAGACGTGGGTCAGGAACTGTACCCCAGCCAGTCCTGACCCGGGTGTGACCCGGGTGTGACCCAGGTCCCACTCTCTGGGACTTCCAGTCTGCAGAAGGAGACCTCTGTATGGGCTGACCTAGGGACCCCGCATGCTCTGATTCTGGTTCCATGAGCTCCCTGGGCATCTGTGCCCGTTGCTGTTGGCCGTGGGTGTCCTGGGCACAGAGTCCGCTGTCTGCCTCACCCAGCCCCCCATGCCATGGCCATTGGGAAATCAACCACTTTCTGTCTGAGAGAGGAACCAGGGGCTCACCCCCTCCCACTCCAAGCCTTTGTGTTCATGGCCCCTGGGCCTGGATTGCTTTTTTTTTTTTTTTTTTTTTTTTTAATGAAAGGTTGTGGGGGCAGTCAGCTTTATGGACTAGCTAGTAAGTGCCACCTGCAATGCTGGCATCCCATGTGGGCACAAGTTCAAGTTCTAGCTGCTCCACTTCCAAACCAGCTCCCTGCTAACATGTTTGGGAAAACAGAAAGTGGTCTGGTTCCCCAAATGGCCATAATGGCCTCTTGCAGGTCTTCCATATGGCAGGGGCCAAGTTCTTGGACCTCTTTTCCAGTTCCACCTCTTTCCCAGGTGCATTAGGAGGGAACTGGCTCAGAAGTGGAGCAGCCTGGACTGGAACCCAGGCCTATGTGGAATGCCAGAGTTGCAGGGAGCAGCTCAACCCACTATGCCATGGTACCAACTCTTCTGTTTTAATTTAATGAGGCAAAATTCACAAAACAAATTCCTAAAGTGAATGATTCAGTGGCATTTAGTATAATCACAATGTTATGAAATCATCACTACTAATTCCAAAGCATGCTCATCCCCCATCAAGGAAACCCCACTCTCTAATCACAGTTGCTCCCCAGTCTCTGTTCCTCCAGCCCTGGGTAACCACCTGTGCCTACTCTATGTCTCTGTGGGCTTGCCTGGTCTGAACTGGTCCATGCATGGCATCCCACAAGCCATGGCTGCCTGTGTGTCTGGCTTCCTGGACTTAGCCTTATGTTTGGGAGACTCACCCCCATGCCAGCATGTGTAGGACTTCAGTGCTACATTGTATATGGATTCCCCTCTGAGTTAATCCATTCTTTTCACTGGGGGCTGTTGGTGAAAGTGCTCCATGGATATGTGAGGGCCTGGATTAGTCACGGTGCCTGCTGACAATTGTTTTGGGTGGCGGAAGGCTCTTTCGCCACTCTCCCACTGTCAGTTCTTTTGAAGGTTTATTTATTTGAGAGGCAGAGTAAAAGAGGGAGGGAAGAAGGAAGAGACGGAGAAAAATGCTCCATCAACACGTTCACTCCCCAGATAGCCATCGTTTCTAGGCCTGGACCAGTCTGAAACCAGGAGCCTGGAACTCCAACCTGGTCTCCCACTTGGGTGGCAGTGGCCTAAGCACTTGGGCCATCTTCCAGTACGTTCTCAGGCATATTAACAAGGAGCTGGATGGGAAGTAAAGCAGCTGGGGCTCAAGCCATTGGCCTGGTATGGTGATGTTGGCATCACTTCTTACTCAGTGGAGGTCAGGGAAAGCCCCCATGGGAAGTAGCTTCTACATGGGACCCACCTCCTCAGGCAGGTCAGGCCCTTGCCCCTGAGCTTCCCATCACATATACCTGGATTTGCTGTTACCTGGTTCTGTTCACTTCTGTCTGAGCCCACAGCTATCCTATGAGCAGGGCTGTGTCTGCTGTCTATGCATGGAGCTGCCAAGCACGCAGTCACGGTTGCTGTGGCTCTGTGCATTGGCCCTTGGGCTTCTCATCCAATCCCAGGTCATTTATAACAATACCCTGGTAGGGGCCCAGCACAACAACCAAGCAGCTAAACCTTGCCTTGCACACACCGGGACCCCATATGGTGCTGGTTCTAATCCCAGCAGCCATACTTTCCATCCAGCTCTCTGCTTTGGCCCTGGGAAAGCAGTCAAGGACGGCCCAAAGCCTTGGGATCCTACACCCATGTGGGAGACCTGGCTCTGGCTTCGAATTGGTGCAGCTCCAGCTGTTGTAATCACTTGGGGAGTGAATCATCAGATGGAAGATCTTCCTCTCTGTATATCTGACTTTGCAATAAAAAAAAAAAAAATCTTAAAAAAAAAAAGACCCTGGTGGGAGAGAGCCTTCCTGATAATGAAAAGGAAGAGAGGGAGACTGCCCGGGCCCATGCAGCTTCAGGAATTGTCCCAGGCCTGTAAGTACCCAGCAGTGCCACATCCTGGTCTGAATAAAAGAGTCATGCTGTGTCTTTCTTGTGTCCCAGACAGGCTGCAGGCAGAATGGCTGACAGCTCTGGTTCCTGAGGATGATGTGGCCCAGGTGAAGCCCAGGTCAGGTCTGGATGGCCAGCTCAGGGACTGAGGTCCACTGGGCTGAGCCCGGCCTGGGGCAGGGGCCCCGGCGGCGGCGCTGGGCCTGGGCCGAGGAGGAGAAAGGAGCCGACAGAGGTGGCCCACGGGGCTGGGAAGAGCAGCCTTTCCCCGGTAGCCCCAGCCCCGAGCTCCTGGAGGACTTTCTGCTGGCCCAGCAGCACCCGTCACCGTCCCTGGAGTGGGGCCCAGACCTGCAGCCTGCCACGCATCAGGATTCCTCTTCCAGGGAGTCTTCTGGAGAAGGTGAGACTGACTGTCCCTGCCCTGCCCCTGCCCTTGCCCCTGCCCTTGCCCCTGCTCTGCCCCAGCCCTGCCCCTGCCCTGCCCCTGCCCTGCCCCTGCCCTTGCCCCACCCCAGCCCTGCCCCTGCTCTGCCCCAGCCCTGCCCCTGCTCCAGCCTTGCCCCTGCCCTTGCCCCACCCCAGCTCTGGCCCTGCCCTGCTCCAGCCCTGCCGCTACCCTGCCACAGCCCAGTGTCCTGTCCCACAATGCCAATCCTCCCCCACCTCTGGCACGGGAATGGAGAGACCCTCAACAATTTTCATTAAATTTTAGAAAAGCTATCATGTACAATCATGAAAGATATAAGTTGCGTAAGTAATACTGTTCATTGCAGAATGAGTAAAACAGAAATAATCTCAGATTACCTGTTAAATTACAACATTCCCAGACCTCTGTCCTCCCTTAGGAAGAAATATGCAAAAGGAACATGAATAGGAAACACATATTCTGCACATCTTATCATAGCTGATTTTTTTCCTTTCAAGTTTATTTAAAAGGGAGCACAACAGAGAGAGAGAGAGAAAGAAGGGGAAAGAGATCTTCTATTTGCTGGTTCATTCCCCAAATACCCACAACAGCCAAGCCTGGGCCAGGCCAGCACCAGGAGCCAGGAACTCTGAGTGTCCCACATGGGTGGCAGGGCCCCAACACTTGGGCCATTGTCTGCTGCTTTCCCAAGAGCGTTAGGAGAGAGCTGGATTGTAAGTGAAGCAGCTGGGACTCAAATGTATATGGGATGTTTATATGGGATGACTGCAGGTGGCAGCTGAGCCCACTGTGCTGTAACACTGGCTTCCTATAACAGGGTTTTCACTCAAGAGGTGTGTGCCCCCTAAGGTCATCACACGGCTTTGAACAGGTCTGCGATTCTCTGTTAGCATAGAATTCCATGACATGGCTTCTCTGTAGTTTGTCTGGACTACTTAGCTCTAGTTGAGAATTGTGAAAGTTTCATTTTCTGTTGTAAATAATACAACAGTGTCATCAGCTCATCATGGCACACTCAATTTGGTAGCATCTTTCATCCTTTGAATCACTTGGTCCAGGGTTCATGCCCATTTTAAAGGCATTTTTAAATCCCAATCAATGGGGAAATGATATTCCTTGTTGTCTACAATAACGCTATTCTCTTTGCATCAAGTCCAACTTAGACTCAATTCCTGGTTTTGCTTGGCAAGTCTCTACCCCTCTCTGAATCTTGGTTTCCCCATCTGTGAAATGGGAATAATTGCCACAGAGAATAGGAAGGGTTTGGGACATGGTGGCTATTGCCATTAGACTGGGAAGGCTCCTATTATGGGACATGGGGGGCCCAAAGGCCCTGTGTGAAAGCAGACAGGCCAGAGGCAAATGAATTTCATGCTGACTGGCCACTTCCGAACTGCCCATCAGGGGGTGGAGACTGGCAGAGTCGGCTCTTCCCGGGGTCACATGGTAACCCCCTGCTGTGATGTAACAGCTTCTGTTCCTGGGGCCTCACTGCGTGTCAGGCCCAAGGCTCCTTAGGGCCTGGCTTTCTCTCCTTCCCACCTCACCAGCTTCTGCCAGATAGGAGAGATGAGCTCCACGTTCTAAGGATAGCCCAGGAGGTCTGTGACATGCACGTAGTCCCCGGGAAGGGGCCAGAGGAGCTGGGACTAAACACAAGGTCCCACCTCTGTCTCCCACACTCCTGCCAACCGCTGCAAGACCACCCTCTCCCCTACCTGTGGCATGGACATGCTTGTTTGCACACCTTGAGGTCTGGCTTCTCAGGCTAGGACTGCCCTGAGTTGCTGTGTGGTGTCTGGCAAGTGTCTGGGCCTCTCTGGGTTCCAGGTGTTCTGCTGTAAACTCAGATGACTTGCCTGCTGGGAGAGGTGTAGAGATGCCAAGGATGGGGAGACCAGGGGAAGCTGAGTGTGAGACACGAGTTAGGGCAAAGATGCAGCCAGCCAGAGCAGAGAAGCTGTGCTTGGTGATCCTCAGGTTCTGATTGTCACACATGAAACTCTGGATGTGCCCCAGGGGCCAATCTAGGATCCCAAAGTGACTGCATAGATAATGGGTAGATGGGCAGGTGGAGGATGAGTGAATGGCTGGGTGGTGGGGAAGTGCATGGGTGGATGTATGGTGGATAGTCTTGGATACCTGCTATGCAATAACTACAACAATTGCTTGTTTCCAGGAACTGCCTTATCTATCCCCTTCCCTTCCCTCCACCTCTCTGTCAGTCAGGAGACAGCTAGGCACCTTTGTGCAATACTGAACAGAAACAGTTTCCTTGCCCCTACAGGGCTTGCAGTGCAGGAGGGAGAGAGATAGCAAGGAAATGACCACAGAAATGCAGAGAGCTGCAGCAGCAGTGAGTAGAGGCTTCCAGTCCTCTGAAAGCCGTGACCCATCTAGGGATGGAGACTCCCTGGATTATATCAAGGCCGAATTAATCCCTGAAGGACAAATGGAGGCAGAGGAAGAGAAAACAGCCGTGGCAGAGGCCAGGCCTGGGCACAGGTCCCTTGGGAGTGAATGAGGCGTGGTTATGGCCCAGCTGCAGCAAGGAGAGACAGACAATTAGGAGAGCCAATAGGAGGAGGAGGTGGCACAAGTCTCAGGCCCCCGCCCTGAATAAGCCCTGAATATTGGTCCTGGGGACATCAGGAAGGTCTGTGTGAGGTTCCAGACAGGGAGTGAAGGGGAGGCTTAGGGGACTACTGCAGCAGAGAGAGAGTTGGCTTCAAGCAGCGGGAGAGTCTGAGAGCTCCACAGGTGGCAGCACCTGGGGACACAGTGGATGGGGTAACAGATGACTAAGGCATGCCCATGCCTCTGGCCTCTGCCCAGGTAGAATGGCCTCACCATCCCATGAGAGAGACACTGGAGGACAACCTTTTGAGCCTGAAAGACAACCTTTGAGACCATCCGAGCAGCTGTGCTATCAGAAGTCCTGGGCTATTGGGATGGAGGGAGGCAAGAGGGCTTCTCATCATCCCCAGGTCATGGGGTCATGGAAGCCAGAACACGTTCACCAGCCTGGAACTGGCTGACCCCTGCCAGGTATGTAATGAGAGGCCTGTTTTTGCAGAGACCGAAGCAGAGGATGTGGACAGCCCAGCTGGCTCCGCCTTGCCTCTCAGCTGGCTCCCCCAGGAGGGTCCTCAGCTGGACATGACCGAGGAAGAGCCAGATGAGGCCCTCGGAAATCCTGAGGCTGAGGAAGTGGGACAGCGCATCCCACAGCTGGAAGAGGAGGGGAAGCTCAGCTCAGAAGGTGATAGAAACACCTGCCCCATGACCCTGGGGCCAACTCAGGCTTGTGGCTGGGTGGCATCCGGCCTACAAGGTGATGGAAACAGACTTCCAGAACATTCCAAGATCAAACCATCGGTGGAACTCAGCTCAGCAAGGTCCTGGAGCAGCGGAACTGTGAGCCTTGGTCACCCTAGTGACAGTCTTGATTCTCCTTGGGAAGGAGACCTCGATGACCCTGGACCCCCTGCCCTGGCAGAAACCTCACCACCAAGCCCCAGCAAGCAGCTCCCAACCCCAGATGACAGAATTGGAGGCCCCGTTGTCCCGGTGACCCCCCCAGAGTTCCAGGATACAGCAGCCCCGGCCCCGAGTGTCCAGCTCAGCACTGGCCGATGGAGCAGGGCCACTGGCAGCATCTCGTGCCCTCAGCCCCAGAACCAGACCTGGAAGCGAACCAAGACAATCCTGAAGCCACTGCCCTCCCGATTCACTGGCTCCATCAGCCCCATGAATCCTCGGCCTAGGGCAAACCAGAAGGACAAGATGCCACCCAAGCAGGGAGCCACTCTGGCCAGCCATTCTTCTTCTGATGTCCCCAAGTATGGCCGGGGACAGCTGAACTACCCACTCCCGGATTTCTCCAAGGTGGGGCCCAGGGTGAAGTTCCCCAAAGATGAAAGTTACCGCCCCCCCAAGTCCAGGAGCCACAGAGGGCAACCTCAAGGTCCTGCCGGGCCCCTGATCTTCAAGTCCCCAGCAGAGATTGTGCGAGAGGTACTTCTGAGTGGTGGGGAAGCATCCCCCCAGAAGGACCCTTCTCCTGCTCATGCCATCACCAGGGTGCCCCAAGAGTTTCAGACACCAGAACAAGCCACTAAGCTCGTTCATCAGCTCCAGGTAAGCTGGACTCAGTTCCTTAGGTGTTGCCAAGGCTTCTGCTGTTGGGCTAGAGTGGAGGCAGTTGGGGAGAAGGTCCGAGTCGGAGCCAGGAGCCCCCTGTCGCAGGATGAGGGTTGAGCCTACCCAACCCTTTGCTCAGAAAGAGCTGTGACTATACTTAGATTTGTTGTTTGCTTCCTTTCAGCTTGGATTAAAAAGTCAAACACATACACGAGCAAAATTGATACAATGATCTTCATGTACCCAGCTTCCACCTGGCAGCCTGTCACACCTGTTACCTGATCCCTACACTATTTTATGTAGCCAATCAGTTTACCCCAAAATATTCTAGAGCATCAAAGTCTAGACATCATAACCTTTTACAGAGTCTAAAAGCTGACATCACTCCCTTTGTATCCCAGATGCTAGATCAGTCACCCAGGTTTCTCCCTGTGTCTCACGGGTGACTTCTAAATCCAGATCCCAGTGGGTCCCATGGAGTACACCAAGGTTATGTGCTGTTCCTGTCGCTCCTCCCCCTTCTGCCCTGGCTTTGCCAGTTGTTTTCAAGCTAGGGATCCCTGTCCAGCTAGAGATCTTCCTCCCTTTCCCTTCTCTCACAGTTCCTCATCAAAGAGGCCTGCCCTGCTCTGCCCACTGCTCAGCTCCTGGGATGTGCTGTCACTGCCCGTGGCATCTCTGCCTGTGTCCACTTGCTCTCACTGCCTCCTGTCCCTGGCAGGATTGGAGTGAGCAGCTCTTCCAGGCTGCATACATCTGTTTGGGTGACTTGTTCTGCTGCGGATTGTGACCTTCTGTGGCCTAGGGAAGTTAAAGCCAGTGCACACCACCGACAGCCACCTGCTGCACTCAGAGCCTCAGGATGCCTGCTGGTTGGCTTCTGGTTTGAGATGCTCAGGGCCCTTGCTGGTCATGGCCTTGAGCCAGCCCTTCATTTGGGGTGACTAAGTGCTGCTGTTACAACATGGCCGCTCCACCTGCATTCATTGCTGGAGCTCATCTAAGAAATAAAAAATGTCCCTTGTCAACTAGGAATGACCAAGATCTCCTGCATATAGGAGACTAGCGAGAAGCTCAATCCTACCCTGTGAATGACTCATTTTTAGAACCGTGATCATGCTCCTTTTAAAGGGACATCTCTGTCTGCAATGATCCTTTAAATGAAGCACTTGGGTTTGTCAAAGGTGAGTGCCTCTGAGCAGCAGGGACTGTGACACTGGAGTCACCATCTGCTGTCTCAGATGACTTGGCCTGTCCTTAAGGAAGACATGCTGAGTATATATGGGGAGGTGAAGGTGACCTCAACCCACAGACTAGGCAGGGAGATGGGGGACCTGGAAAAGGAAGGGAGTCGCAGTAGTCCTTGGCAACTCAGCCTGAGCCTAAGCCAGGCTCAGTTCTGGAGACAATGGCGAGTCCTCCGAGGCCTGGAGTGTGCAGGGTTTACACCTGGAGGATGATAGTGCATGGGATCTGCAGCTGCCTGCTTGGTGCCCTCCCTGGCACTCCTGCTCAGATGCACCCAGGAGCCTCATGGACAGGGCTAGGCTTGCACAGCGGGGTGCCTCGGCCCTGGGTGCTGACAGTGGGGCTCTCTTCCCTACAGGAGGATTACCACAAGCTGCTCACCAAGTACGCCGAGGCCGAGAACACCATCGACCAGCTGCGTCTCGGCGCCAAGGTACCAGGGTGCGGGAAGGGAAGGGCTCAGGGACCTGGTCCCCAGGAGGTGACGCCTCCTGAACTCCCTGAAACCCTGGAGATAGTGGAGCCCCAAAGGCTTTGTCCTACCCCTTGGCCTTGACCTCTCCAGGGTCACCACTGGTGAACTTTGATAGCCTTGACCGCTGGTGTCCAAGGTGTGCCCGGAAGCCACATAGTAGCCCACCTGTGCTTAACTCCTGATTCCATGTCTAGCTGCTCTGTGACCTTAAGCCGGTTTCCTGGGCTCTCTGAGCCTCAAGGCAGTAGCTGGTAATTTCTAGCCTAATTCTTCTTGGATCATGTCTCGGCCTTTCTCCTTCCCCCTATCTCACCCACATCCTCTCCCCTGACCCCTGACCCCTGACCCAGGTGTGTAGTGGGGAAAGAGCAGAGGGAAATACAGGCCCCGGGAAGCCTGCTGCCATGCTGCCCAACCCCCACCCAGCTTTGGAGGAGGCTGTGAATTTGCACTTGGGGCCTTCTGCTCTGGGTGAGGCAGGAAGTGGGACCTGTTGCAGCAGCTTGTGGCTTCCTGCTTTCCTGTGATGGCTCCTGCAGGTGGCTATGGAGGAGGGGTGACAGGTGGCAGCCTTGTATAGAGAAGCCCGGCTCACCAGGCTCAGCCCCCAGTCCCTGGCATACCCCATCTTCCTCCACAGGTGTGGCCCAGTCATGCACTAGGACCTGTAGCCCTTCCACATCACCCTCAGTATTGAGAGGGAGTTCCATACCATGTAGGTGAAAGCAGTCGCAGTAAAAAAGCAGAAGAGGGCCTGGAGTTGGTTCCCAGCTACTCCGACCAGCCTTGTTGAACGTATCTGTAAAAGCGAGTTATTCATACCTTCCTCCTGGAGACAGAATTAAGACTTAAGGCTCCTTCCTGCTCTCAGTGCAGCAGGGTACCAGGGAGGACATGGGAGTGGGCGTGGGCATATCCTCTGCAGAAAAACCACCTGCTCAGGGTTGCAGACTCCCGGAAGGACCAAGAAGGCACATTCCCCTTCCCCCATTATACAGTCTGAGAACTTGGGTCCCCAGTTGGGCCGGAGGCTGCCTCAGGTCACAGGTGGCCCATGGGGGAGGTGGAGACCATCACCCCCTCCTCACTGCACTTATTGAAGTGGGACAGCCAGTGTACACGGAGCCCTCTCACTTGGTACACGGTGCGTATCTCTAAGAGTTAGGGAATGTGACTGTTGAAAATATGCCCACTAGGGCCCAGGGGTCTGTAGTTGTGTCCTCTGCCCTGGGCTCTGTGCACTAAGGTGTAGGGGGCCCCAAGATGGCATCTAGCTCACAGCCCTGGTCACATAGATGGTCCTGCCCGTCGCCAGCACCTGCCAAGCCCCTTGGCTGTGCTCAGAGTCAATGATGGGAAGATAGCAACAAGTAAAGATCCCCAGGAAGGAAATGAACGTTCCTAAGCCACAAAGAAGTGCCAAGCAGGCCGTTGGCTCAGGGTCTCATCTGATCTTTCCCCTGAGGCCCAACCAGGTAGAGTGGTTTACTCAACATGGCATGGCTGGTGTCAGGGGCCATCTGCCTGGCAGCTCCACAGCCCAGCACAGGGATGGGACAGGCCCACGACTGCCCTGGAGACCCAAGAACAGCTTCCAGCCTGCTCTCCTGGGGGATTTCCAGCAGGGGACAAAGACTACTCAGTGCCAGGGCTGGGCTTTGACCTCAGCCATAGTCAGTCTCCAGCCCTACTCTCTGTACCACAGTGCCTGTGTGGCAAGACAGGACCAGATAACTCAGTGAACAGCCAGTCAGTGCCAAGGCCTGGATCTGTAGCCTGAGGGTTGGGACAGGCCCAGGGCACCCCGCTGGGTAGCTGCGAGGCAGGGGACAGCAGCATCTGATCAGTGGGGCCTCTCTGGTGGACTCTGTTCTCCACCTGGCCTCTGGCCAGCACTCATGATGATCACACCATGGTTGTCGCCCAAAGCTACTTCCATTGAGCCCCTGTGTTCCCCCTGCCACCCAGACTGCAGAAGGGCTGAGATTACCCCCCAAAATTACCCCCACAAAGAACTAGAGGGACAAAGATCAAAGGCATCATTCCCAAAGTGTGTTCTGATGACTGCTGGCTGATCCAGATGCCCCCAAGAGGAAGGGGGTGGGAGTTCCGGTGTTCAAAGGAGCTGGGGAAAGGACTCCCGCTCCCCCAAGCTAGCGCCTCCACCCCATTCATCAGGGCCATTAGTATTCTAAAGGCTGTGAGAGAGCCATCTGCACAGAGAACCTACTCATCCATTTAACCCCATGTTCCCCACACTCCTGGTTCACCCTTCCCGTTTATGCCTCTGGGAGCGCCCCTGGAGACGCCCCTGCCTTCAAAGACACACCCCAGCTTCCTGGCTGTGTCCAGGAGACAGGCCTGGGATGGCCAGGCCCAGGCAACACACCATTTCCCTTCTTGGATATCTGCGGGCTTTGAGCCTCTGCTATGAGCCCTCTGTGGTCCATCCAACCGAGGCGCTCCCTGGTCCATGCCGGACTGGGAGCTGTGGGTTTGCTGGCGCTCCCCAAGCGGGGCCCAGGGAGAATAGGGAAACCCTCTATAGGCTGCCCAGGATTCAGGTCACCCTTGGAGAGGATGCTGGAGGCGACTCCCAGAGAGGAACAGATGGCTACGGGATTATTAAAATCCAGCTTTGTTCTCTAGCCAAGCTGGGCACGAGAGGGGGAGGCAGCCATGCAGGAGTGGGGTTTTTCTGCCACAGATGGGACTCCGAGAACAGCTTAACCAGGAGGTGCTGCTTGGCTGGATGCCAGGGAGCTGCCTCTGCAGGCTCACCCTGTACTGCCCATCCCTGACAGCAGTTGCAGCTTCAGGAGCTGGGTTCCTGCCACACACCCATGAAGACCTGGATTGGGCTCCCAGCTCTTGACTTTGGCCGGACCTAGCCCATGCATTTGGGAAGTACACCAGCTGATAGCTAGAAATAAATCAGTCAGTGCTCTAGCACTGAAAGATATGCCATGGCCAAACCTGAATGCTGAGCCAGGCTTGGCAAACTGTGCCAGGTTGTGAGTGCTTCCAGCTGTGTGGGTCAAACATCCTCTGATGACATTCTCTCACCTGTGCTCTGCAATGTGAAGACAGCTACAGGTGGCACGTCAGCCCACTGGTTCAACTGTGCCTGCTGACCCTCATTCACAGTCGCTGACCTGTGCCCTCTAAGTTCAGTTCCAAGCCAGTGTGGGGTGCACGACTTCCCTCCCCCGCAGAGCTTCAAACGGTCTTCCCTGGTCATTTGCTTCACTCCAGACTTCTCCTTTCCATCTCAGGCTGTTTGATAGGTTAAAGTCATCCCCAAAGGACCGGCATGTGACACAGTGGGTTAAGCCACGACCCCAACACCAGCATCCCCGAGGAACACCAGTGGGAGTCCTAGTTGTGTGGGTCCCTGAAACCCACCTTGAAGACCTGGGTGGTATTCCAGGTTTCTGGCTTTGGCCCCAACCCAATTCTTATAGTCATTTAGGGAGTGACCAACAGATGGAAGCTCTCCCTCTGTCTCTCTGTAATTCTGCCTATCAAATAATTAATAGATTTTAAAAAGCAATTCCCAAATGATGGCGATCTGCCGCCAGGGAGGGATTTGTTTGTTTACTCGGTGGCTCATTCATCCATTACTTGCTGTTGTCATCAATACTAGCCTAGTAGCTAACGTCATCACCTTAAAAGCACCAGGATCCCGTATGGGTGCTGGTTCTAATCCTGGCAGCCCTGCTTCCCATCCAGCTCCTTGCTTGTGGCCTGAGAAAGCAGTCAAGGACGGCCCAAAGTCTCGAGATCGGGCACCTGCACAGGAGACCTGGAAGAGGCTCTGGGCTCCTGGCTTCGGATCAGCGTAGCTCTGGCCATTGTGGCCATTTGGGGAGTGAATCAGTGGATGGAAGTTCTTCCTTTCTGACTCTCTTCCTCTTTGTATATCTGCCTTTCCAATAAAAAAAAAAGAAAGCAAATCTTTTAAAAACATTACAAGTGTTCAAATTTTTATTAAGAAAATTTATTGAGTGCCATATAATATAGTAATATATTATAGTAATATAGTAATTGTTATAACATTTTAAAATATTTTATCTTGAAAGGCAGAATTATATAGAGAGAGGTCTTCCATCTGCTAATTCACTCCCCAGAAAACACACTGCTGGGGCTGAACCAGGCTGAAGCTAGTTTCCAGAATCTTCTTCTAGTTCTCCTATGGGGGTACAAGGTCTCAAGCATTTGGGGTATTTTCTTTCCCAGGTGCATTAATGGGGAGCTGAATCAGAAATGGAGCAGCAAGAACCAGTGCCCAAACGGGATGCTAGTGCTGCAGGTGGCAGCTTGACCCACTCTGCCACAACACCCATCCCTATGACCATTATTATTAGAAGTCACAGGAAAACCGTAGGATTTCAGGCTGAGTAGAGCAATGTTCGATTCCTAATTGCAGGACTTACCGGCTGGAGATTCTGTCAGTGTCATCTTCTAGAAAATGCGGCTGATGGTCCCTGCCCCACTCCTGTTCAGGTTTGCCGTAAACAGCAGCCAGAAAGGGCTGACGGCCCTTCCCCCAGCATTTAGCCCCCACCTGCGGGCTCCAGGGAGAGGGGTCTGCACCAAGGAGGAGCTCCAGAGTGCAGGAGACACTGCAGCCTTTGCCAGGGGGCGATGGAGGGGTGCCCTACCACTGATGCAGCTCTGCCTACTTTACTTCTTGTGCAGGTGAACCTGTACTGGGACCTGCCGCAGCCCAGCCACAGCAGCCACCATGAGGGGATGGTGCCGCAGGGCACCCAGGTCTTGTCCTTCACCATCCCACAGCCCCGCTCAGCACAGTGGTGGCCAGGCCCTGCCAAGGACTGCCAGGCCAACAGCGTATCAGGTGAGTTGGGGCAGGGTGACATGGCTCGAGGGCCCCCTGTGCCTGGACTTCTATACTGGGGGCTCCTGGTTCATCCTGGAGAGAACCAGGGGAAGGAGCTAGGCCAGGCCCTTCTCCATTCACTTGAGGCCCAGGAAGAGTTACTTGGCAAAGACCCTTGGCCTTGGGGCGGTCCTGCACTAAGCCCTAACTTGGTGGGATGGATACCGTTGCAACCCAAGCTCTCAGAAAGACCAGGGCTCTGAAACCCGAGGGCACACACTGAAGGTTCCAGAGGTGTGATGGCGAGGTCTGCAGACTTGAACCCATACCCTCCTGAGTTAGAGCCCACCCCATTGACTGGGATCCAGCAGGGCTCTACTCCTTCCGGCTGTGCCAATCAGGGCACACGTGGACCCAGTTCCTCGCCTACACCTGCTCAGGCTGATGTGTGCAAGACAGCCGAGCTGTGGTTAGGAACAGCCGTGGTGGTCTGAACCTTGACCATGGCATTCAGCCTTCAGAAAGACTGTCCCTGGCCTGCATGTTCAGCATTTGTGTATTCCAGGGTGGCCAACGGCTCGAGGAGACCTGAGTGACCCGTCGCCCCCCAGCATGCCCATCCCAAGCTGGCTTCCAGAAGACCAGGCCACCACTCAGGACCAACCCTCAGCGGAGTGGACCAAGGTGCTGGCTTCTCAGGCCCATCATGTTCTGGCCCAGGTGGGTGGCATTGCAGGTGTGCCCCAGCAAACCCTAACTCACCTGGAGAGAGTGGCGTCGCTGCGAGACCTGCCCACGCATGCTGTGTCTCACACCAGGCTGACTTGGCCACGTGGAGAATGGGACCCTTGCCCTCGGGATTTTCCAGCCACGCAGCCCCAGTGCTAGGTTAGCTCTGTGTAGGGCAGTGTATCTCTTCAGCAGTCCTTGTCTTGTGCTTCAAAGTGTCTGCTGTTGGGCCCCAAAGATTGAGCCTGTTAGGATCCTGGCACGTCTACTCTGCTTTTCCTCTTTAGGATAAGTTGCCGCACTTTCTGAGCTCATTGTATTATGGGAATCAGCTCACCAGTACCTCTCACAGGACCTCGGCAGTGTCAACACACAGTTCCATGTCACTGTGAGTTGGCACCCCCCTTTCTATAGCCAGACACATCCTTGTTCTAGACGTGTGCCCAAGCAGCTGTGAAAATGTGTGTTTCCCTGCTTGCTGAAGGTGGAAGTGAAGAAGCTAGGGCAAGGGGAAGTGAAGGGACGAAAAATAAACTGCGTGTGATGGGAACCCACAAAGTGTTCTCCAGACCCTGAACACTGTCAGAGTCACACACTGGGCTCGGAGCTTCCTAGTTGCTGATGCAAAAGAGGAAATGCAAATGTTACATATAGCACCAGACCCAAAATACAAACTCCTTCAGAGAGCACCACATTTCTTTTTTTCTTGTCTGTTATCAACTCCATTGAGCTGTAATTTACATACCAGGCAGTCCATTCGTTGAAAGCATGTGACTTGGTGGTTTTTAGTCATGCAGCCATCATCGTCTTCAGGTGTTAATAAAAAGATTCATTTGTGTATTTGAAAGTCCGAGAGAAAGAGAGATTCCCCATGCACCGCTTCACTCCTCAAATGGCCTCAACCAGCAGGACTGGTCTGGGCCGAAGCCAGGGTCCCGGAACTCCTTCCAGGTCTCCCTCGTAGGTAATGGGGGCCCAAGCACTTGGGCCATCACCCATTGCTTTCTAGGTGCTTTAGCAGGAAGCTGGATCAGAAGTGGAGCAGCCAGGACCCAGCAGCGCTTGGACCAGGGATGCTGGTGTGGCATCGCTGGCTGCAGCTTAGCTTGCTGTGCCCCAACACTGGCCCTTCCCATAACCAGTTTTGCAACATTTTCACCATCCTGTACGGTTCATGACCAAGTCCCCCAGCTCCTAGCAGCTGTCCACCTATTTCTTATCTTTATGGATATCTTTGTTCTAGGAATGTCATAAAAGTAAATTCATTCAGTGTTTTTATTTTCCTCTTTGATGTCTTTATCATGAGGTTTTCAAGGTTTCTGTCCATATTAGGATAGCACAGTTGAGTACAAAGGGACAATTGGACAGGAAAAGCTATGTGGGCCTTTCCTTTGTGATTCCCTATATATTTGATAGCAAATCATACAGGTACCCCTGAACCTGGCTTTGACCCTGGAAAACAGGTCTGAGAGGCACTTATGCATCAGAACACCCACCTGTGCCTTCCTTGTACTTTTCTATATACCCCTTGCCTCCCACTCCCACCCCAGCCACAGTGCAGCCTGTCTCCTGGCCTGCAGACCTTCATACATTTGTGTGTGTGTGTGTGTGTGTGTGTGTGTGTGTGTGTGTGTGTGTGTGTGTGTGTGTGTGTGTGTGCGCGCGCGCGCACGCTTTGTGGTCCATGAACACCTGTAGATCCCACTTGGAGTTTCCCCAAGGCTGCCCTTGCAGAGGCCAACAGTAGACTACCCTTCATCGCCTTCTCCATGCTTGGTAGAAAGCCTCTCTTTTGGGGCCAGACCCAGCTGTATGTGCCAGGGCAGAAATGTCGCTGAGAGTGAGAGCCGGGCAAGATTTATCTTCTAGGATCTGTATTAATGAAGCTTGTTTCCTTTCTCTCCCAATGTCCAGATGGACTCCTTTGAAGAACTGATGGAGGCAGGCCAGCTCACACCCCGGAACCAACTCAAGGTACTGTCCAATTCAGGAGATGCCCGCAGAGCCCCTGGACACGCCCTGTCCCCTCTACCTGTGTCTGGAGCTGCTTTTGCTCCAAGACACAAAGGAGAGAATCCTAGCCAGCATTTCCTTTCAGAGCAGGTGGCTCCTGGTTGGTGCTCCCGGGAGAACCATCCTGACAGCACAACAATTACCATGGATTAGGCCATGCTGCACCTCAGGCAATGTCATCAGCTCCTGCCGGGTTGTCCTGAAACCTGGAGAGGGAGTTCCTGCCATCTCTCTCTTTTAAAGATTGATTCACCTATTGGAAAGTCAGTTACACAGAGAGAGAAATTGTCCATCTGCTGGCCGCAATGGCCATGGCTGAGCCAGGAGCTTCATCTGGGTCTCCCATGTGGGTGGCAGGAGGCCTGGCACTACGGGTTTGCCCTCTACTACTTTCCCCATTAGCAGGAGGCTGGATCAAAAGTGGAGCAGCTGTGACATTAACCAGCACCTATGGGTTACTGCAGCTTTTCCTACTATGCCGCAGCACCAGCTCCAGTCATCACCCTCTTCTAACCAGTATAGAACTACAGTGCAGATGGCAGGTCTGATGTCCAAGTCCAGGGTCATGATCACTGCCATGCACTGAGTCCCATTGGTCAGGCTGCCTTGCACCAACCAGCAAAGATCCTTGTCTCCTTTCTGCATTGTAGGAGTAGTTGCCAGCAGTTTGGAAGCTGGGCTTGGTAGAGGAAGAGGGACTCCATGTAAGCACACTTGGGACTTAGGAGTTTTCAGTATCTACTCAGACACTCAATTTAGATGCCTGCTGTACCAGCCAGCATCTCCCTGAGGAGCAGGTGAAGATCTTAGAGCTGGAGGAATGCAGGGGGAGGGGTCAGAGGAAGGGATGGTTAGCGCACCTGAGGGCAGCCTCAGGGGTCCACCAGGCATTGCAGGCCCCAGGGAGCCACAGGTGTCTGACCACTCCCACCCCTGGGCTTCTCCCTGCCCACCCCGTGGGCCACTTTCTCTGGATAGCCCCAGCAGAAACCCCTGGGCAAGAGCGTCCTGTTGATGTGGCAAGGTAACCTCATCCCCATTCCTTTTACTTGACACCATTGTTATGTGTCCACGGTGTCCAGTGCGATGCGATGATTCCATCCATGTGTGCCATGCGTCATGACTACATTATGGATCAGCCTGTCCATATGCTGCAACACTGCCTGTCTCTTTGCGTCAGGAACCTCAGACTCTTCTCTTGTAGTTCACTCTGAAATACAGAATAGCTGCTGCAAGCTGTAGTCACCCTGCTGTGCAAAAGCACACCAGGCCTAGTCCTCCTTTCTTGCTTTGTTTTTGCTGTCTGCAATCCAACCCTCTGTCCTTGCCTTCTACGTTCGATTGCTCTGCCATCAGCCTTCTTATCTCACACATCCGGGTGAGAACCTGTGGTGCTGGTCTTTCTGAGTCCGGTATATTCCACTTCACCTCCTCCAGTGCCCTCCATGTCACTGCAAATGATGCAAAGCCATTTATTTTCTTCCCTTCCTGTTGGAAGATCAGACATGAGTGGGGTGGGTTGTCTTGGTTTCCACCTGCCATGTAGAAGTTGAGAAGTTCAAGCCTGGTCATCAGCTCGGCATCTTGAACCCACTTTCTGAGGTTTCAGCCACACGTGATCTGGGAGTCCTAGTGTAACTATGAGAATGTGTGCCCTGGGCTCTGCAACCTGCTCATCCAGCATGAGATCTTCATCAGCTTCTGTACTCTCTGGATCTCAGCTTTGTCCTTTGTCACTGCTGGAAGGAAATGCCCCCTCCCCGGGATTATGTTGAAGGTGACATGGAGCCAGTCAAAGGGCCTCAGCCCACTGCCTCAGTGCCCAGGGAAGGTTGGCATTACTGACACTGGGAAATGGGTGGCACCATCTGTCCTGGTAGCTTACAAGGATTTGGGAAGAGAGGGGCTCATTTTACACATCCAAAAGAAGGACCCAATCTCTCCTAAGGCTGAGGTCTGTCTGGGAACACAATGATATTGTGATTGATGCTGCAGCTGTTGTGGTTCGTTGCCCTGTTTGTCAGTCCACCCAGAGCAGCTGGTGCCCAAGCCCTCAGGGGTGTCTTTGCCATGCCAGTCTGATGGCAGAGAGCTGCCATAGGGCAGGCAGCTTCCAGAGATTTTCAACCCCAGCCTCTGGCTCCTTGTGACTCAGGGATCCCGCACACACCATCTCACCTGCCGTGTCTGGGAGAACAGAGCCTGCAGTGGGGCCTGGGCACTCAACACCTTTGGGGCTTGGTCTATTTTTAGGGATTCCGGCAGCTCCAGGCGGCCCACAGGGCCCTAGAGGAGGAGTACTTGAAGGCCAACAGGACGCAACACCTGGACCAACAGCTCACTGGCTCTAAGAGCACACCTGGGAAATTTGATTCAGGCAGGTATGTGCTGGGGAGAGAATGCAGATGGGGCAGGACCCTGGGTTCCCCCAGTCACCTGCCAAGGTCATTTGGTCCTCATAATTCAAACACAAGAGAAGCAGACAGAAATCAGGGGTGGGGGCAAGATTTCCTCAGGGTCCCACGACCCATGGGTGGCCAAGGAGATGCCCAGCTAAGGATCCCTGATTCATGATGTACCGTCTCCTTCCATCTCATTTATCTGGAGTTCTCACTGTTCTGCAAATGCTGGGGCATCCCCTGGGTCTGCCAGGACACCTGGCCTCCCAGATCTGTGGGATGACGCTGCCACCCTAGTTTCCTGGCACTCACTTTGCCCCATTCCAGGGATCTGGAGACAGAGATCTACCATCTGGGAACCCGTCTGGAAGAGCTGAAGGAGCTCATGGATCAGACCCAGCAAGATCCCAAGCCACCTGTGTGCGAGGCAGCTCTGGACAGCACCCCAGCCTCGCCCGTGTCCCGCCAGCCCATGCGTCTGCTCACACCAGACAGCCAGAGTGCCTCCCCTGAGGTAGCCCCGTGTGTAGCTGTGTTAGGCTGGTCCTCCCTGCTTTTGTTCATATCATTGCTAATTTGCATATTTACAAAGTACTCACCACAGACTGGAACCTCTGATGTGTGATTGGATTAGGGGGTGCCCCGCTCCTGGAGTTTTCTGTGCCATTGAACTAATCATGTAGTTACTCAATGGTCGTTGGATTGTGCTTTGAAAGGAAATTGTGACAGTAGAAGACGTGTGTCAAAGGAGTGCTTGGGTGAGTGCTCAGAACACAAGAAAAGTATCCTGGCAGGGAAGGCAGCTATGCAAAGGCCCTGTGGCCAGTGAGGGAAATGACTGGAGACAGGCAATGGGGTGGGGGACACAATAGGAGTGTGTTCTCTAACTCTCTTGGACTTCTTACTAGGGGAAGGGAGGCTGGTTTGTGGGTAGAATGGTCGGAGCCAGGGAAGGGGCAGGCAGGGTACAGGGGAACCCAGGCATGGGCTTGGGAGAGATGCAGAGGCACACTGGACTGGTCTTGGGGTGATCATGAGAGATGAGAGCACTAGGAATGGCCTCTGGCTTCAAGCTTGTAGTGCTTGGAGGATGAAGGATGGCCATGAAGATGGGGGCTGGGGACCCCCAGGGGAGAGGCTTTGTGGAAGTCCTTCCAGTTCGTCGTGACCCCTTGAGAGACGGTCATCACCATCTCCTTTTTGCAAACTGTCAGCGTAGAAAGGCCACGCAGGTGACAGTGGTGGGGTCCCCAGTTCCCGAGCCCTCTGCTGGCGGCCCTGGAGGACTTGTCTGTTAGGTAGTGCGGGTGCTGCTGCGATGTCCCTGCCGTGGAGGGCTTGCTGGCTTGGGATTAGGGGAAAATTCCCTCACACTGTGCGCTGTCCAGAGGATAGACAAACCCTCCTGTGCAGCATCTCCTGCACTCGCTGGGGGAAACCTAAGTGTGCCATCGGCCACTGCAGTGAAGGGGCTGTGTGGCTGGGTAGCCATGCCGGCATGGCAAGGAGGCAGGGGGGTGCTTACCGCACATGATCTGTGTGCGAATCTCAGCTCCATGTGGCTGCGGGCACACCACCTGAGCCTGTTTCATGTCTGTCAAGTGCGTTGTGTGACCCAGGCATGCTGCAGGGATCAAGAAGAGGTTTCTGGACAGTGCCTGGTTCATTGGAAGCGCTTGGTTCTCGGTGCTCAGCCAGGACTGAAGATCCCTTTGCACACCTGTGGAAGAAGTGGGTGTTTGCGGGTGTAATGCCTCAGCACACCCAGCAGGGCCTGGCATGAGGCAGGTGCATCAGGGTGGTGGTGAAGAACCTGCTGAATCTCTGTTTCTCTGCCCCCAGCCTGCTGCCCCTAGCCCTGGCCCATTGCACATGAACGCGGAGGTGACTTCCAGCAACGGTGAGATGGGAAACAGGCCCAGAGAACTCCCAGCTCCGCTCCGGCACAAGGAGCTGCAGATGGAACAAGGTTTCCATGGCCTTCTAGACCGGTGAGTCCCTGCCCAGCCAATGGTTCCTTGGGATACCAGCAGCCCCTGCCCAGCAGAAGTCAAGCACTTCTGTATGTCTTCCTGCAGGTACCACAGTGTGAAGTCCCTTCCAGAAGCCATGAGAATGGAGGAGGAGGAGGCAGAGGAGGAAGAAGAGAAAGAGGACAGTCACGCTCTGGAAGTGGATGGGCCAGCTCCAGTTGCAGGGACCGCAAAAACCAGCAGGATGCCCCCGAAACAGCAGCTGGCACAGGCTGAGAGAGGTCATGGGGTGCCCCTCGAGTAAGTTCCCCACGGGCCTTCCATTCACTCTTGCTACAAGGGCGTTTGTTGTCCGAGCCAGCAGGCCTGCCTTTGGCAGGTGAGGTGTGCAGCTCCTGGCCTGGTGAGGCAGATGCCCGCCGGAGCACCACAGCTGGCCCCGGGAGGGCAGGATGAGATTTTTTAGGGGTAGTGATGGTGTTGAACACCACAGCTGTCCTTGGCTCTGGCCTGCTGGTGTAAGCAAGGAGCAGGTCACATCTTCAGTGCCTCCCTGGGTGGTCCTATCAGAAGGGAGAGAGAAAAGGTGGAACACTGGAGTAGGCCTAGGGCCAGAGCCTGCTGCAGGCAACCACAGGATGGATGTATTTAGAATGTAATATCATTTTCATGATTCTTCTGTTCCCTTTGAAAATTAGTTTCCATTTTGGCACAAAAGTCTGGCCTTCCATTTGCAACTGTGACTGGAAGTTTGTGGGCATGGCTGAAAGGGGAGCCTGTCGGGTGTGGGCGGGACTGCCTAAACTCATTTCTTTCCTTGGATTTCTGCAGCGGAGCAATGGGCAGCTTAGGTGAGCAGCCCTATTTTACAGTTAGGAAAAGTGAGGTTGAGGGAGGAAAGTGCCTTACTCCAGGCCACACAACTGCAAGGTGGCAGAGCCAAGAGAGGTAGCCAGGGAGTATCTGACTTGGGTCCTGAACTGCCCGACTGCTGTGCCAAGCTGAGCTCTGGGCCCCCAGTTGCATGGCTTGGCTTGGAACCAGGCACTCTCTCCTTCCCCGCCAGAGACGCCATGGAGCAGATGGGGTCCCTGACGCCCCAAGGCTTGCCCACCTCCAGAGACAGGCACATGCCGGGTCTAGGCACGTCTGGAGCTACAACTCGAGGTCCTGGCATGGCGGTCCCCACCCTGGGTGCCAAGTCTGCTGCATCCCACCAGAGCAGCATGACCAGCTTGCAGGGCAGCATCTCTGAGCGCCTACCCCAGAAGCCCTTGAGCCACACCTGTGGGCTCCATGTGGAGGTGAGTGTCCTTTGGGGCAGTGGGGACAGTGGAGTAGGGACCTGGCTTTGGAACCTCAGGCCTTCCCTGGGTCTCCTGGGCTCTCTGCCCAAGGTCCTGGCTTGGACCATCTCTTCTGGTGATGCCTGCTGCGCCTGGCCCTGTCAGTCACCATCACACCCCTGTGCCAGGAGTTCCTGTTCCTCCCACACACTGCTGGTAACGGGAGCCCTTCAGAGTCTGCATGGAGAAGGGAGTCACACATGTGATTTACTTGATGTACACAGTTGTGAAATCCATGCATCCGAGAAGACCTTCAAAATGTTCCCAGGGAAATGCTTCTTAGGGAAAAGTAATTTCTGCATAGGCTCAGAAATGTTTTGCACCAAGTAAACTGATTTTCTGTGGATCTTCTGGGGTTAGGCAGATGTCTCTCTGAGTCTGCATACAGAGCCAAGGGCACTGGTTCCAGACTCAGTTCTGTGTTCTCCTGGCAGCAGTTCTTAAAGTGCAGCAGGTGTCATAGAGCATTGTAGAAACGGGGCTTATGTCGTATGCCAGAGGAGAGCATGTATATACATGCATGTGTGCACACGTACACACACACACCCATGGCCAACTCGGCACTGCACATGGACTCCTCAAGGCAAAGCACCCGAGTCTCTCTGTGTTCTTTTTGCCCTGCGTTGACCCAAGGACCGAGCAGGTGCCTGTAGCTGGTGGATTTTATTTTCCTCGGCCTTCTGCAGTCAGATGATTCTAGAGCATTCCAGACCTCAGTCAGAAGATGCTAGGATAAGACTTGCTCTTTCCCCTTTCTCTGTCCCTTGTCCCGCATAGTATCTTTCCCAAGGGCTCCGCTGCCACTCCTGGGAAGCAGGACTTGTCTCAAGTCCTGGAGTCCTGCTATGTGCCAGCCACTTAGCCTTCAGGACCCTGAGCCTGGCTGAAGGGGCCTGGACCTGCCTCCCCAGCTGGGAGCCAGTGGAATGTGAGGCCTAGGCCTGGATTTGTACAGGTTTTCCTACTGTGCCTTGGACATGGTCCTCACACTTACAGGGGCACCACCCCTTTCAGGAGTCCTGGATGGCATCCCCGGAAACGGACAGTGGCTTCGTGGGCTCCGAGACCAGCAGAGTGTCACCCCTCACCCAGACACCAGAGCACCGGCTCTCCCACCTCAGGTATGCTGGGACTAGGCCACTATCCCACCAATGTCCCACACATGGCATCGCCTGAGAGTCACAATGTCTGTTATGACCCAGAACAGGGGTGGGTGGTCTGGGCAGACACAGGCTTTCCCTGCACGCCCCCTATGGCATTCGCAGTTCGCATCTTACTGATAGAGAGGAGCAGAGACTCAGAGAGGGCAAGCCACTTTCCCAGTGTCATCCAGCAAATTCACCATACAATTATTATGTGTTGAGCAGATGAGGTGCGCAAGAGACAAAGGGCCCTCCCTGGAAAACACTGTGCTCCCAGGGATGGGAGGTTCCGAAGTTGGGAAGGTGTTGGCTTGGGGCAGGAGGGCTCTGGCTGTGTGACCCCAATGTGTCTGTCCCTCTATGATCCATAGCACCCCAGGCACATCAGGCCAGTCCCCAACAACTCCTGCGCCTCACAATGGAGCCTCCCGGCCCAGGACCAGGGGTTCTGCTAATTCCAGGAGAGCTAGGGAACCCAGCACTCCCAGGAGTCGAACACAGAGAGCCCCGGCCAGCCTAAGCAGTCCTCCCCAGCACTGGATGCCTGGCTTCCGCCTGGAGCGCCCACTGGCAGCCGACATGGGTGAGTGCATGGGTCGGGGTGTGCCAACAGTGTATGGGTTCAAAACCTAATTGAGAGAAAACCTTACAACAGCCTTCAGGTTTGAACTACTCCCAGGCCCCTTGCAGGGAACGCTGAAGTCACAGACGGAAAGAAGGTAAAGGCGTCCGTGGGAGACCACCAGGGTTGACATTGGTGCAGAATCTGGGAGCTGTGTACATGGCTACAGGCACCGACCACCAGTATGGGGTCACATCCTGGGGAATGAGTGGTCACTTTTGCCACTAAACGTGACATCATGGATACTTTGATTCCGTCTTTTCCCTTTAAAAACTACGTGCACTTTTTATTGAAACAAGACAGACATAGAGAAAAGAACAGAAATTGGTGAATTTTCACACGCACAGAAAAACACAGACCAGAAAACTCAGTGTGATCAGAATTCTACTCAGCCCTCTTGCAGGCACTGCAGCCCATGCTGGTCCTACTTCAAACACCTTATGTTAGCTTTGTCTCTTAAAAAAATTATTTATTTTTATTGGAAAGGCAGATTTTACAGAGAAAGGAAGACAGAGAGAAAGATCTTCCATCTGCTGATTGACTCCCCAGATGGCTGCGATGGCTGGAACAGAGCTGATCCAAAGCCAGGAGCTAGTTCTGGATTTCCCACATGGGTGCAACATCCCAATGATTTGGCCATCCTCCACAGCTTTCCCAGGCCAAAAGCAGAGAGCTGGATGGGAAGGGGAGCAGCCAGAATATAAACATTGCCCATATGGGATGCCAGCACTTACAGATGGAGGATTAGCCAGTTGAGTCAGGGGTTCTGCTAATCCCAGGAGAGCAAGGGAACCCTGTTTATCCATTTCATTTCAAAGGCAGACAGAGATCTCTTAGTCACCAGTTCACTCCCTCAAATGCTCATGGGGCCATATCAAAGCCGGGGGCCTGGAACTCAGTCCAGTCTCCCAGACAGGTGGCAGGGATCCCCTGACCCCTTACTGGAGTCCTTACGGGCCCCCTAGGGCGCACAGTAACAGGATGCTGGCCTTGGAAGGTGCAGGCATTCACAGCTGTCTCAGTACCGGCCCCTGCCTTATCATCTGCATGGCACGTGTTCTCTGGAGATTGCTGCAGATTCGCCTGCAGCTGGAGAGGCACCACAGAGCTCCCAGGAGCCTTTCCCAGCCCTCCCCCTTTCCTAATGTCTTGCCAAGCAGCAGGACCATGTTGCATCCAGATGCTGACACAGACACCTTCAAGAACATTCCATCCCTACAGGGATCCTTGATCTTGCCTTTTTGCAGCCACCCCTCCCCCAACCTCAGCCACTAACCCGCTCATCTCTGCTGTAACTTTGTCTTTTCAAGAATGTTACATAGATGCAATCATGTGCTATGGGGCATGGGCTTCCGCACTTGACTTCTCATCTAAACCCTTGGACACTCATCAGAGCGTTTGGGGTATTCAGAGCCCCAGATGTGGTTCTTTAGTGTCTCCAAGGAATGGTTGTTACCAGTGCTTGGGTGTTTGTAACCTTTGTCTCCCCGCTGCTGCTCTCCCGGGGAGCTCCTACACAGGGATGAAGGTGGGATCCCAATTTCCGAGGGACATGGAGGTGCTATAGCCAGTCCCAGGACAATATGGTGGGACAGTACCTGTGTGACCCAAATAAAGGGGCAGTTGACTCTTTGCAGAGAGGCAGTTCCTGACCACTTGGATCTAATGGGGGTGGGAGGGGATGGTGGCAAGAGTGTGGTAGGCCCAGCCCAGTGTCCCACACTGCCACCCAAAGTTGGGATTTCCATTTTAAGGTCCCTGGACATTGACCTCATTACCTGTGGCCTACCACTGGGCACTGCCTCCTCACTGCCCATTATCCACCCACACGAGCTTGCACTGCAAGGGTCTTCTGTTTCAGTTCACTGGTTATCTCGCTCTGTCTCCCTAGAAATCCCGGGCTCCAAGTTGGAGAGGCCACAGCAGAGTTCGGGACAGCTTCTACCCAGCAGGACAATCAGCCCAGCCCCTACCCCAGTTCCAGGAATGGCCTCTCTGCCCCACGAGCCTTCGACCGAGACCACCCCCAGCTTCCTTCTCAGCAGGGCGGGGCGAGAGTAAGTGGGGTACTGGGGCTGTGTGAGTTCATGTCTATTGGGCAGGGGTGCACGTGGGAGGCTGATGTCCCTGGGAGACGTCACACAGTGAGGGTGGCTGTGCTGGGATCAGAGTACCTACCTTCCAGCCCAGGTCCATGGGACCTCAATGGTCTCGGCACTTGAGAACATTCTTCACGTGCTGGGAAATGACCCAGATGCTGACACCTGCACCTCTGCTCCTTACTCTCCCTGTTCTCCTCCTCTTATTTCCTAAGCACAGATGTTCTACCAAGGGCATTGCTCCCTGCTGGCCAAGGAGTGAGAGGGGAACAGCTGGTCCATCCTCTTAGTCCCTCGTTAGTGGCTTGTCGCTCTTCCCAATCACGTGCCTTTTCAGGACCTGGAGGGACCAATTGACAAAGCTGCCGCAGTCCTCCAAGGCCTGCACAGTCAAGTGGCCCATATGCAAAGCCGTGTCTGCTGCTAGCATTTGACTCCTTGGTCTGGGTTTATTGAGTCTGCCCCTGTAGTCTCCCCTAACCTCAATGAAGGAATTTGCCTATGGCCTGTGGTGGCACAAGCCCTGGGAACATGGTGGTAAATGAGACATGGACTTTGGCCTCACGAGGCTCCTGTCTTGCAGAAGGGATGAACCAAGAATGAGGGAGTTGCACCCCAGGGTGACAGTACAGGGTGGCAGATGCACTGGGCTGTGAGAGCACAGGCATCTGGCCCAGGTAGAAGTTTCAGGAAGGGCTTCCTGGAGGAAGAGGCAACTCAGCTCAGACCAGAAGAAAGAGCGTGTCCAATAGAAGAGTGGCATGTGCAGAGGCCCAGAGGTGCAAGAGTTGTCCGCCCTCTTTGCATCCTTGCGTTTGAAGTGGTGAGGTGCTGAGCCTTGAAGGCCTGGGAGAGGCTGGCAGGGTCCTGAGTGTCCTGGTTAGTGGTGTGGATGGCAGCTCGGCTCAGAGAAGTCGTGCAGAAAGAGGCTCATGCCAAGGATGGAGCCCTTGAAAGGACCTCTGTGCACTTGGTTGTTGATCAGGTTCAAGGGATGCTGGATGGAGGAAGGGGAAGGATTAAGAAAGATCTAGAAGGTCTCAAGTCTGTCTAGGGACAGGAGCAGGTCTGCAGGACAAGATGGTTCCAGGGCCAGCAGGTGTTCAGCAGCTTCAGAGTGATGGAGTCAGGATCACTGAGGGGGGACGTGATCCCCACTGGGTGCTTGAAACTCTTTTGTCAGTGCCACCCTTGGCCCAGGACAGGAAGCTGGAGCTTGGTCTTGCAGGGGTTAACAGGTGACCTGGCCCTCTTACAGCCACTGCCTGCCTCCTCCCTCCATCTCCCGGGCTTCACCTTGGAAACCCCCAAGCCAACAAGCCTCTCCCTGGGCATTGCCAGGAGGGCTCTCTGCCTTGGCCATATCACATTAGGCACAGCCCGGAGAGGAGATGGCCTCTGCCTGCTGACCACTCATCTGAGAGCTCTGGAGGTGACCTCGTGAGACTCCCCATGATTCCAGGGATCCCCAGGCAAGGAGTCACCCTGAGAGGAACGCCCACCCCTGAAACCAGCTGGAGCAGTGGACGTGGCCTTTGCCAGCCTGCAGCACAGCTATGATGTGCCCAGGCATGCATGCTGTTCCGTGGGTACAGGGCCTGGGTGCTGGGAGGGCTTGTCTGCCAAAAGCCCGCAATGTCCAGACCTTAGCGACCCCAGGGCTGGTGGGGCTGGGCTGTGTGTGCTTGGGGTCTCACGGGGCACAGCAACCTGGCAAACAGAGCCCTGTCCCTCCTGGCCTGCTCACATTTGCCTTCCCAGGCCAATAAGGTGCAGAGGTTTCGAGGGGTCCCGGAAGTCCACAGGCAGCACAGTCCTCTGCTCCCTCTTGCCGCCCAGGTGCGGTTCAGCCATGTGCTTGGCGAGGGCTGGGGCCCCAAGAGCTAGAAGATGGGGAGACCCAAGCCCTGCCAGTGGCACCCCCTCTCTAGACCAGGAGACAGATGCATGTCTTGAGAAGGGAGCAAAGACATGGCCTGGAATAGCACCAGGAAGCCAGGAAATTTGGGAGCGAGCTGCTGAGGAACGAGGGATCCTGGCATGGCTGGGTAAGGTGGAGGTTTGGAAGGGGGCGCCATCTACACCCTCCTCCCTGTCTTGAGAGGTGGGCCCTGGTGCACAGCTCTGCAGGTTCCCCACATGAGGAGGGGCCCGGCCTTGTAGGAAGGCTCTCCTTTGCTGATGGAAGGTACAGGAATATGAACTCGGCTGTTGAGATGCATTGTAGCAGCGGTGATCACACAGAGGACTTGCAGCATATTGGATTCTGTGCCTGTTGCATCCAGGCAGCCCTCCAGGGATGCTGCAGCTCTGCTCCTTGAACATCTGGGCCTTATTTCTGTCTTCACTGCCACTCCAGCCAGGCCATCCGTGAGCTGCAAGAAGAAGTGTCCCGACTCCAACTACGGCTGGAAAGCAGCCTGCACCGGTCACCTCAGGACAGTCCCTTGCACCTGGGGCCTGCTTCCCATCACCCTACCCAGCCCCAGGACCGACCAGCGGACCCCTTAGCAGCCTGGAGCTCCCACTGTGGCAGGTGAGTGACCCTAAAATCCCTTCTCAGTGCCCATGGGAGCCACAGAAGTGACAGCCCTGTGGACTCAGGCACTGCTGCCTCCCTGCCCCACTGCTCCAGTCATCCTGAGACCTCCCACACTGTGTAGTCCCCTGTGTAGTCCCTGGTACATCCTGTAACCACCTGAGTCCACCTGTAACCACGTGATGAACAGGGAAGATCCTTGAGCCCTGGCCCAGGTGGGGAGCCGGAGGCTTCTGGCATGCTGGATACTCTCCCTCTCCCAGAGGGCTCTGATGCAGGTGACATTGAGAAGCAGCTCACTTCTTTGCAAGTGGGAGAGGGCATTGGGCCTTTCAGTCCCTCTGAGCAATCCCCATGTGACAGATGGGAGAACTGAGAGTCAGGAGGGCTTTTGGGCTCCTGGGCGCTGGTTTCCCCAACGTCTGCCTCCCGTGGCAGGTCATCTCTGAAGGCCTCTTAAAGCCACATGCAGTGATGATGCCTCCCTTTGTTTTTGCAGTAAATCCACAGAAACGTTGGCCAGGGAGCCAGGATGTACGGAGCAAGCTTCACCCATGAGAAGGCAGCGGGCCAGGTCATCCTCGGTACCCCGGCTGCCCCTGAGTAAGTAGCCACCTGTCAGGACTAATTGCTGAAAACCCAGGGGAGGACCTGGGGGACCCTGTGGGTAGGGACCATGGCAACAGTTTTCATTGCAATGTTTTAGGTTATCTGTTGCAGGCCACTGCAGTACTATAAGTCATAGCCCATGGATTTTAAGCATTTCTTTATTTCTTCATTTGAAAGGCAGAACAACAGAAACAGGGAACAAGAGAGAAAAGTGGTCCATCACCTGGTTCCCTTCTCAAATGGCTGCAAAGATCAGCATTGGGCCAGGTGAAACCAGGAGCCTGTGGCTTGGTCTCCTGTGTGGGGAGAGTGACCAAGTACTTGGGCCATCCTCCGCTAATTTCCCAGGTGTTTTAATTGAGTCTCAAACTGCGTACTTGGGACTCAAATCGAGGCTCACATGGGATGCTGTGGGCACAGACAGCAGTGTAACCATGGTGCCAAACACCTGTGCCACAACGTGCTTCTGGAAACAGCCGTTGCATGCCCACCTAGCCTTATCCCCTCTCTGGGTTGGGTCACCTTTTCCACATGTTCCAGATGAGGACATGCAAGCCCAAGGGGCACAGAGGGCATGCTGAAGGTTCGTGGCTGTGGAGGCAGAGACCAGGATGCAAACTAGCCTGCCAGATCTGACTCTCCGTGCGCTCTGAATTAAAGGCACAGCCAGCTGTGCAATGACAGTGGGGCCATGGATGCTGCCCTGGTGGCCAGGGGAGCAGTCACCTTGCAGGGTTCCAGGTGTGCACTGTTGTGCCTGCGGGCCATCTGCTTCCAGCGCCTGAGCTCCTTGTGCATGCTCTGCTGCAGCTGGGAACGTCTGACGCCCCCTCTTTGCACCCCAGGTTCTGAATCTGAGCCCCCCTCTCCTCAGCGGTCATCTGAGAACAACAGGACCCCCGAGGATGGTGCGCAGGCAGCTCGGGATGGCACGAGAGCTGGGGGCAGCTCCAGACGGCCAGACAGGGTCACCTTCTGGGGCCAGTACACAGGTAGGCAGGAAGGAGGGCTGGGTGGGCAAGGTCCCCAGGACGGTCTCTGCTGCCATCATTGGCCTGCTCCCTTCCCCCAGGGGCCATTCACACTCCATTCTCTGAGTGTTCTGTGATGGGGGGAAAAATCAGGGAGCATTTGTTCATTCATTTATTGGTTCATTCAGCAGTTTCTGATGCCTCCCCTTGGCCAGGGCCAAGGCTGGTATCCTAGCCAGCCAGTTGGACAAGTGGATCATGAAGAGGTTTGTGGCCTCCTGCTCCCCACAGGGTGGACACCGACTCTTGCAGCACCCACACCTGGCTGGCCTTTGGGCTCTGGTCCCCAGGGTAGTGTGTCCCATGCACAAGGCACCTTTGAGATGCACCCAGTAGCATCTCAGAGTGGTCAGCCTTTGAAATAGAGGTGTGGATGTGGTCCACATTGGATCCTGACTGTGTAGCTGAGACGACAGGGATTGTGGGATGACGGCAGGGGTCACATGCCACTGGTGTCACAACCACACCACCGAGGACTGCAGCTGGGGCAGGAGGCAGGAGGCGCATCCCTGCCTGGTGGAGTGCTGTGGCAGCCACTGAGGAAGGACAGGGACAGCGGCAGGAGGTCCAGGGCCCAGGACACCACGCAAAGTCGGGGAGCACTCATGCTGTGGCTGCCACGGCACAGGTGCTGGAGACAAAATCCTCTTAGTGGCTTCTCCTGAGCCCCACGGAAGACCTCACAGGAGGTGGGCGGAGACCAGGAGCTTATCAGTGAGCACGCTTGCCATCCAGCAGCCCTAGGCAGGTACTCACAGCCACAGGCCCCCTCTGTTCCCCCAGTGAGCTTGGCATCCTGCACTATGATAGTGGCTGTGTCAGCATGGCCACCTGCCTGCTCCGAGCCCCACTTGGGGCAGCAGGTTTGGTGATGGTGCCAGGTGTCAGAGCCAGCTGCTTCCTGGATCTGGGATGAAACCTGGAACAGCCTGGAGGGACCTGGGGTAAAGAGATCAGGATAAAGGCATGCATGCGACCTGCTTGTGCACATACACAGCACACATGTGCTCATGTGACAGCCAGAGGGAGAGAGAGAATAAACCATCCAGAGGAAGGGCAGAGGCGCTGGTCCTTACCCAGAACCTCCCATGGTGTCCTGAGCCTGATGGTTTCCTTCCCCAGGACAAGAGTACCATGTTCGGCCACCAAAGGCTGTCCCAAGAGATGATGACACAGCCTCCTCCTGTCCTAAGTGCCAGCCCTTCAGGACTCAGGATGCAGGTAAGCGTGGGTGCCTGGAGTACCAACCCATACTATCAGAAGTGCATGTCACTGGGCTGGGGTGGACCAGTCCTGGGCTGCATGGTAGGTGGAAGTTCAGACAAGGGGGTCAGGATTCTCCTGCAGCTGTCAGCACTGTGGGATGCATGCCCTGCCACCTGTCGCTCCAAGTGCCGCTGCCCTGCTCCACCTTAGAAGTTCCTCCAGGATCCTGATAGGCAGATGTGTTGGCAACTTATCTTGGGACTCACCTTTCCCTCCTCCCTCCACTCCTGCCCTGTCACCTACACTACTGGACAGCTCCTCCCGGTTGTGCCACTGACTTGCTGTGTGCCCTTGGAACAGATCCTCACCTTCTCTGGGCCTCAGATTCTGTGTCCACTGTGAAGACAGTGGAGGTCTAAGAGGCCTCTACTGGCCATGATGGCGACAGTGATGGAGCTGGGCTTTATTAGGCTCCTACTGTATGTGGGGCACCATGCTGAGGATTGTGCGTGTATGAATCCACACAGCTTTCAGAAAGAAGTGCCAATAATATGCCCATCTTGTGTGTTGCAAAAACTGTGACTCAGAGAAATTCAGTCACCTACCCAGGGGCACACCATTTACCCGGAAAATTTGGATGAATAGTGAAGATCTTGCGTGGGACACTCCTTACTCCCACACTCCCAATCAAAGTGCCCGATTTAAATTCCAATCCTGTTTTCCTTTTCCGTCTTCCTGCTAACGTGCGTCCCGGGAGAGAGAGCAGCCAATACACAAGTACCTGGTGGGTCCCTGCCACTCATGTGGGAGATCCAGCTGGGGTTCTGGGCTCGTGGCTGTGTCCTGGTCCAAGCTTGGATGTTGCAGGCTTTGGGGAGTGAAGTCAGGGGTGGAAGGTCTCTTTCTGTCTTGGTTTCCCTCTGTTGCCCTGCAGGGGGCCTGGCTGGGTGGGTGCTTGGTGTCAATGGTGTCATCTAGCAGGTGGAAGTAGCCGGTGCCCATCTTTCTCTTCCAGGCAGTGCTGCCCCCAAGGACCCCGTGGGACCCTCACCCTCTGATGCACGCCGGTGTGCCCTGTGTGGTCAAGTTGGAATCTCCAAGGAGACAGAAATCCCAGACCCAGCCCCATCTGGTAGGGATGGTGCTCAGCATTCCCCTGCTTGACCAGGGCTGTGGAACTGGGCTGTGGCTGCTGTCCCTGGCATGGGTTGGAGCTGAAGTGTGGGGCAGGGGGATCAAAAGTGTTTCCCACAAGAAGGAATCTCTCCCCAGGGAGGCAAGGGCTGGATCCCACTGTCATGGTGTGGGTGGCAGTGGAGGACCTCCGCTCTCAGCTGCACCTGCCTGCCTCTTAAACAGACTCTCTCTGTCTGGCCTTCCCTCCTCTGACAGGAGCAGAAAAGGCTGCCAACAGGAGAAATGCACCTGCAGCTTCCGGCGCCAAGCAGAGGAGCAAGCGGGCAGGGTCGCCAGCGGATCTGCCGCCCGGCCTGTGGTACCTGGCAGCCGCGCCCCCAGCACCAGCTGCTCCGGCTTTCACCTACGTGTCCTCAGTTCCTGTCGTGCCTTATCCGCCAGCCACTGTGTAAGTGCCTTCCCATGCCGTACCCCACCAACACCTGCATCGTCAGAGCTCAGCGCTGGGCGGCTAAGAACCCAAGCGCCACTGGCTCCTGACTTCGCGTCGTGTGGATAACATGCAGTGCCAGCCTGATGCTCATGCAGTCAGTCAGCAACCCCAGGTGCCACCTGTAGAGCAGGGCGAATTCTCCTTCTGGGGAACAGGTATTGCCCCTGGGAACTACTGCCTGGTGAGAGTCTAGGACCCTCAGCTTGTGCATTCCCTTCTCAGAAAACAGGACAGAACACCCATTTCCTTTTTTTTTTTTTTTGAGCTTTTATTCTTGGGAGAACATTTTTATTTATTTTAAATAGACATTTACTTATTGGAGAGGGAGAATCAAGTGCTACCATTTGCTAGTTCATTCTCCAAATGTGAGCCATCACCAGGACCGGGGCAGGGTCAAAGCTGGGAGCTGGGGACATAATCCACATCTCCCACATGAAAGACAGGAGCACGACAGGCAGGGCCATCAGCACTGCCGCCCTGGTATACACTGGCAGGAAGCCGGAACGAGGCAGGGGAGCTGGGCACTGCAACCGGACACTCCCATGTGGGCCATGGATGTCCTCTTTGCACCTCAGCTGAAGCTAATGGCCTCTCAGAGACCAGCTGGTCCCACCCTGGCTGTTCTTGACCATACACGCTGTCCCAGACATCCCTTGTGGATGATGGTCTGGTTGTTGTGGAGGTCAGGAGTTCAGGCATTGGAGGAGGGACATCCAATGTCCTGTCAATCAAAATGGAAAAGGTGCAGCCATGTAGGCAGAAGTGGCTTAGGGCTTAGAGCCCGGCAGAGCTGCATCTGGAGGCTGTTGTCTCCTTCTTGGTGCTGCGGTCTTGCCAAAGCCACTGTCTTGCTGAGCCTCAGTGTCCCCATCTGTGAACTGGACACATGATCTCCATCGCACAGTTATGTGAGACCTCCTGAAGCCCCAGTCAGAAGCAGATGTGAGGCGTGTGGACGCCCATGCAGCCCAGGGCCTCCATGCACGGGCCAGGCCTGGGCATGAAGTTTCCCACTGCTCTCCCACGTCCTTGAGGAGTGTCCCCTGCATGGTGCTGTGAGTCCATCCTGCATCCCTCAGGCTCTGCATCCTGATTCAGCGGCCAGGAAGGGGTTCGCCAGAAATGTGGTTGCTCCTTAGGGGCCACGGAGAAGCCCACTACCCTGATGGCTCATCTGGTATATTTTCAGGTTTAGTGGGCAGTTAACCATGATGCTATCCCCAGGTTTTCTTTGGGCCACAAACAAGGGTAGTCGCAGAAACTTGGTTTGCTCTACTCGCCCATACCTCAGTTTTGTCCTCTCTGAAATGGGTTGTGGTGAGAAGTAAAGACCCGGAAAGCCCATAAAATACAATGGGGGAATCATGGTGCTTGTAAGGCTGCTCCAATTCTAGCGGGGTCATCTCTGGCCTGTCCAAGGATGCTGTTTCGAAAGCTAAGCAGACCTGTGCTGCCACCTGGTGGTCAGCTGTTGTATTGCCCCTAAGGCCTTAACGGAGGAACTTCGGGAGTCTTTCAGACCGTACTGTTGGTCAGATGAACAGAAGGCAGGGAATATGAGCTGATGGTCACACAGGGCAGTCCCGAAAGCGTGAGTGTGTGCTGTTGTCCACAGGATGCAAGCAGCCCACTCCGTGTAGAAGCTGCCTGTATGCACCTGCTGTTGCTAATGAGCACCTGTTAGAGGTGCTGGGGAGAGTCACCTCTGGGAGACAGTCCAGCTCTCTATCGCCACGCAGTTCTATAGCCCCTTGACCCTTGTCTGCCAGTGCACAGCTGTCGACCTGAACAAGGCCCCGGCTTTGCCCTGAGAAGTGGCTCATGATAGCTGTTTTAGCTGAGAATCCAGCAGGCTGAAAAGTGATTGTTCCACATCCATAAGGTAACCAAGCAGAGCAGCCAGGATGGGCACAGGCATCCAGAGCCCGCATTTGCTGCTGCTTGTATGGGAGACAGAGGTACCCTGCAGGTGCGTGGGTAACAGAAGCAGGGATGTTGGCTCAGAGGCAAGCTTTCCACTTAAAGGCTGTTTACCTTCCCGCTTGCGCACACACACACACACCTTGGGATAGGCTTACAATTCCTCATTCATTTTATTTTAATTCTTGAATATTTTTCAGGAAGAAAGGAAACCTCAATCCACTGGTTCACCTTCCTCAGACAGCCACAACTTAGCTTGGGTCAGGTCAGGCCAAAGCCAGAAACCAGAAACTCAGTCAGGCTCTACTTTGTGGCTTTCAGGGATACTGTGCCTGAGCCATCATCCGCTGCCTTCCAGGGTGCACGCTGGAGGACTGGCCGAGTTGAGGACAGAGCTGGGACTCGAACCCAGGCACTCTGATACGGGATATAGAGGTCCCACACAGCACTGGCTGCAGCACTGGTAACCCAGTCCTGCTATTTCCGTTTTAGAGATGGTGAAACCAAAAACCAGAGAATAGGGGCCAGAGGTCCACCTGGGGTTCTGAGCGGGGTGGACTTCAAATCCAGTGCTCTGATGTCACACTTCCCTCCTCAGGTACTACACGCCTACAGTGGCACCTACCTCAGCCTCCATGGGCACAGCCTCCAGTCGGGCAGCCCGGGGCCGCCGGCACTCCGTCCAGCTTGAGCCCAGGGACCTGGAGGAGCTGAACAGGGCCCTGAGCCAAGCCATGCAGGCGGCAGAGAAAGTCCGCTCCACCAGCCGCCAGATGAGCCGCTCGCTGTCGGCCGACCTGCGCCAGGTCCGCGGTCTGCGGAGCTCCTGCCTCTTCTGACCCTCTGGAGATGGTGAGACACATCGAGGACAGGTGGCCCTGCCATCCCCCAGGCCAGGAGTCAGCTGGAACCACTGACGTCCGGAAGATGCTGTGATGTTTTCCCAAGAGGGTCTCCCTGTGTGCAGGCATCCCAACTGGGTGGCCCCCTGGTTCCACACCTCCCACTAAGAAGATATATTTTATCCAGAGATGGACAGACCTTTCAAAACTGGGTTTTTTTTTTTTCCTAGTCTTGGATTCTCATTAGGAGGCAAGGCCCAGACCCCTGGAACAAGCCCACCCCTCACCTGTGAGCACCCAGCTGCAAGCAGGGCTTAGCAGAAGACCCGGCTCCCACCCAGCAACTGGTCCCTGGAGCACATGAGTGCCTGTGCAGCATCTTAGGATGCCAGAGCCCCAGAGTGACACATGCCATTTTCCCCCTGGTTGTACAAGCCTTTCTTATGAGCCTGCTGGACTGGACACCCCATCCCCCAGCCTCGAGGTGGGGACAGAGGTGCCCAGAATCTGTCCCCACTGTCCCTCTCAGTACCTCATCCCGACTCCAGCTCTTCCCCAGGATGCCAATGGCATCGAGAGTGGCCAGCTGCCTGCCAGGCCCTTGTCCGGGGCATGACTGTGACCATGAGGCCAGATCATCTCCTGCCCTCACCCCCACCCCAGAGCAGTGCATACCTCAGCATTTCCTGAATGTTTGTGCATCAGTGCTGTTTGTATATTTGAGGCATTAAAAAGTCTATTTTCATTATAAGAGCAAATGGAGGAGAATTGAAGCCGGCTGTCACAAGAAGACCCACGGTGCTGCCTGTGTGGGCGGTGGTGTTGTCAGCGTGGGCTTCCCCAAGTCAAGCTTGCTGACTGGAGGCCTGACGCCTGGGCGGACTCGCCTAGGCACCTGCAGCGGGTGCGTGTTTGCCAACTTGGTTTGTCTCCCTCTGGCCGCTGTCTTACCAGCTTTCTCCCTCTACCTGGCTCAGAACCACAAACCTGCCTACTGGGCAGTGCTGCGAGGAAAGACCATCTGGCCTCCCTCTGGCTTCTTGGTAACAAGTTCAGACAATTCATGAGATCCCCAGCCATTAGGCGTTTGCAGAAGCGTGAGTCTGAACCCTTTTCAGGGCTCTTTTCAACTGCTACTCCCTGAGCCCCAGCTAGACCCTGGCCCCTGAGCTCTACGCTTGGCGCATCCACCTGCCAAGTCTCCCATTTCACTGATGAGCAGGGTGAGGCTGCAGTGGGACTGCGCCCAAGTGGCCAGAGAGAGTCAGGGTTTGCACTTGCGTCTGTCAGCCATCCCAGGTTCTGCTCCCTGGCCCCACCTGGGATTTTTCTTTCCAGCCCAGATTCCTCTTCAGCTGCTATGGGCACAGAATCTGAGCTTTGTAGGCTGAGCTCCTAGAGGGATGGCATGGATGGTGTTGGTGCACGAGCTCACAGGAGTGTGTCAGCAGTCTGCAGGTGCAACACCGATGGTGAGAGCAGCGGCACGCAGGTCTGTGCCGAGACACTTCTGACCAGTTGTGCCTTGCTGGTTCCATGAGAGACTGTCAATAAGGATCCCCTGTGAGCCCAGGAAGAGCAACCCAGTGTGCCGAGCCTCAGGCTCCACGCTGTGGGCCCCACACCATCTCCTGGAGCTCTCAGGTAGGCACCCTGAGGGCACATTCATGGGACCATTAGATTCTCTGACTGGGACCCCCAAGTCCCTTGCCTCACCTGTGCCTTGCTGGGCCAGGTTCCTCCAGCCCGGGTGTGCACCGCAGCCTCCCCCCAGGCCTTCCTACCTCCATCTGACACCTCCCAGATATCTCAAGTAGGGTTCCTTGTGGTTGGCACGCGCCTCTACCCCTGCTGAGGTCCCCAGCCTTGGAAGTCTGAAAACTTGTTGTTACTGATCCCTGAAGCAGGAACTTTGGGTTGGCCCAGCCCTAATGGTTCTAGAGCCATTCCGATGTCCCTGTGCTGGGGGCCTGCCTCACAGCGGCTTCATGTGCCCAGTGTAGCATGTGGTGCTGTGAGCTCCAGGATGAACTCAACAGCCTGATTGGACTCCTCCAGGCTCCCAGTGTAGCTCCCCCTGGGGTAGGCATCACCACGAATAAGTGAATGAGTGAAAGAACACATGATGGGTCCAGGTGAAGAAATTTTATTGATGCAAACCATAAGAGATAATAGAAATACATACACATGCATATATATATATATATACACACATACGGCCCAAACAAATAACAAACAAAACAGGTGTGAGGCAGAGGCGGGGGAGGGGCTGAGGCTCCAGCTCAGTGCTGTGGGCTACGACTGCTGTCTTCTTCTCGCCATGTGCTGGCGCTCCAGCGGCCTGCACAGATCCTAAAAGGCAGGAGAAGGAAGCATGAGGGTGGCAGGTGGACTCTAGCTCGGTTCTGCCCCTGCCTGGCAACCTGCCAGCTCTCCCCCACTGCTCTCCTGAGCCCACTGTTCCCTGCAAGGCTGTCAGCCCCAGCCCCAGGCCTTCAGACACTGCACTGAAGAGCAAGGGGACTTTGACACAAGCCACCTGCCTGGCTGTGCAGCCTCGGCTGACCACCCTCCCTCTCCGGGGCTCGGACGCTGCCCATTGTGCACCCTCCATGGTCCCCTGCACTCGCCTGTTTCCAGTTGGTGTACATGACTTCCGTCTTGTTTATGCCCAGACATGTGAGGGCTTCATGGAACTCGTTCATTTGCTTCAGGCTGGCCTTTGGCTTGTCGGCTGCCGAGGGAGTGAAGAGGCCTGGTGAGGACGCAGCCCTCCCAAGCAAGCAGGCTGAGGAGGGAGAGGGTTCTGGGGACCCAGTCCCAGGGCTGAGCAGAGACAGGGCCAGGCCTTGGAGCTGGGGGCTGCAGGGACACCTACTGTAGAAGACCAGTCCCTTGTCATGCTCTTTCTCCATGAAGAAGCCGAGGAAGAAGCTGCCGGGGTCCTTGTGGTACAGCAGGTGGCCAAAATGATCGTGTCCAGCTTCTGCAAAGAGAGAGGCCTCTAGGTGAGACGGGGAGGTGGCACAGGTGTCCTGAGCTCAGGGAGGGAGCCTTGGGTTGGGTGCCAGGTCACAGAGCCACCAGAAGAGGCTTCACTGACACCACACACAAGCACAAGCACACGCCCCTGCCAGCTGCCAGGCCCTGCCTAGCACTGTATGATGAGTGCCCATCTGCCCATTTCACAGAGGAGAGACATGTGGCAAGGGCTGCTGAATGGTGTCAGGTCAGGCCTAGGGTCTGTGAGTGCCATCTCTATGGGAAATGTGGTACTTGGTTATGTTGCTGTGTAGCAAATAGGATTCCCTCAATACTTGCAGGAGTTTCAAGAGTGGCTGAGAAAGAAGATCTGGAGGCAGCCTTGGGCTGCAGTTCCAGTTCCAATAATAAGCTGTGTGACCTAAGCGAAACCACTGCATATCTCTGACCAAGTGAGACATTCACCTTAAACACTTCAACCAGCTCTACCACACAGCAGGAGCTCAAAAACACTGGCTGCTGTGCCAGGATGGGAGAGATGTCAGCACCCAGGCTTGTCCTGTGTTGTCCATGCCCAAAGTCTCAGAAGGTCCCTATCCCAGGCTGCCTGCCTGGGGGTGGGACTCACCGTATATGGAGATGGTCCCATTCTCTCGTTGCAGCCCCATGGAGGTGGAGTTATAAACGCATCTGTCCTCGCTGCAGCCACACAGGAGGTGGGAGAGAAACAGCAAGATTGTCAAGGACAGGTGGGCAGCTGCCTATCACATAACCAAGAGTGGGGATCACAGCTACCCCTCTCCATGGGAAGGCCAAAGGCCAGAGGAGGCAGGGGCTGTCTCAGAAGCTGGGGCCCAGGCAGGGCTTGCACAGGGACTCACATGGTTACGTATTGCCGCAGCAGGATAGTGTTTTCCTCCTGGCTGGCGGAGAAATAGAAGAAGGCCGCTTTCATCATCTCTGCATGCTGCTTGTACTCGGGCTTTCGGAAGACGGAAGCTTTGAGAAACCACTTGCGGTAGAGCTGGGGGAAAAGGCGAGAGTGCTCAAGAGTGGGCAGTCAGCAGGATGGGGACAGATCTCTCACTCCAGTTTGCACCCGAGGAAACTGAGTCTTCCAGTTGGGTCTGGACCTTCAGGGGCTCACTCCAAAGGTCAGGCATCCCCCTTGGATCATCCCCCCATGCCTAGCACAGAATTGTCGCTCATCATGACCCTGCCACCAAGGGACCTGGCAGGAGGACCCCACATTGCAGAAGCAGGTGCCCCTGCGATTCCCTAAGCTTTGCCCTAGGATCCAGGAGAAGGAGCTGGGCACAGCTATCAGCAAGCCCAGAGAGCAGGCAGTGGGCACTCACCCGGTCCAGGGAGGCGTTGGTGATAGGCCTGGTTGTGAAGTTGGCACACACTGGGTCCTGGGCGTGCAGCAGAGGGAAGAGGCTCAGAGCTGTGAGGGTCCAGAGTAATGCCATGTTGAGACAAGGAGGCACCCAGAACCAGACAGTGCTGCTGGCTGGAGGGTCCAGTGACTTTTATGGTGAGCTGTGGGAGGGGTGCGTGCCTGGGCTCTTGCCCAATCATGCCAACGTTTGGAAAACGCTTTGTACTGAGTCAGAGGAAGGTACTGACTCCAAGGCCAGGTTTAACATGGATCCCCGACCCAAGAGGTTACCACATCTCAGTGTCAGGCTTCCTCAAGGCCAAGGTGACTACGGTACTGGAATGTGTGGGTTAGCAGGTGTGAGTTTGTGGATTTTGGCAGCAGGGGCCTTCCTCTTGGCTAGCTCCCATGTTTGCATTCACTAAGCTCCAAGGTTTGAGAGGGACCAAGTTTTAAGCCAACACTGAATGTACGTTAACAAGCACCCAGGACACTGGGCGTAGGGAGGAGAGACTCCGTTCCAACTAAATGTGGCAACAATTCTAAAAGGGCAAAAGTTCGCTGGAGTCCCAGCCCAGGCCTGGATGCAGGGACTTCCCCAAAGTGGACACAAATTGAGTGTCTATTTTCAGTGAATGTGTTCCTTGAGGATTTACCCCAACATCCAAGACATCTAGGTTGTCCTCCATCTCCTGACATTAGGACCGGGAACTTGCATCTCTTTTTTTTTTTTTTTTATGATTTTATTTTGACATTTTTAACATAGTTAATTAGGGTAAGAAGGTTCAAGGGCTACATGAAAGTGGATAATACTAGTATGTTTTCCATATTGTTACCTTCATGTTTAAAAGGGGGGTATTTAAGGGAGAAGGCCCACCCAATTTCCCACCCTCCCCAGGTCCCAGATGTAGGGCATGCTCTGAGGTTCTTGCTCAAGTGGTTTTGATATTGCCACAGTCATGAATCGCTGTCAATCTTGCCACTCCAAGCACTATGAGATCTTTGAAAAATCAACTGATTGACATAGTCCATCATAGCTGAGATGGTTGGTTGACCCGTTCTGTCTTCTCTCTTTTCTTCGTTAGGGTTCTGAGTCCAGCATTTAGATTAGGAAGATCTCCAAAGAAACTTCTTGTATGTGCTAACAAGTACAGGGCCTGGCACCGTCTATCGCTCCAATCAGCTGGTGGTTGCAGTTGCTGGGTTGGTTCTGTTTTCACTCCCGACTTCCACTGGAACCAATGGGTGTTGCAGTCCAGCCTGGTTCTGCCCAGCACATACTTGGTCCTCACATAAACCAGCGGGAGCTGCAGCCTAGGATGGAGCGACCCACAATAACCCCCACCAGGCCCACTCCCTACCCTGGTTTGCCAATAAGTGTAGCTGTAATCCAGTCTGTCCCACACCCCATTCCACCCCAGCCGCTATCTTAGTTATCTTAGTTTTATGTCCCGTGGAAGTGGTAACCCAAGAGGGATGAGCCCACTATTTCCCTCCCAGGCCTCTCCCACTCCCAGATTCCAGTTGATGCTGCGTCTAAGCCCAAACACCCCTTGCCCACTTTAATTTTGCTTGCACCAGTAGGAATAATCCGCCCAGCCCGGCTTTTCCCTGATCTGGTCCGCATGAGGCGCACAGGTGTGGTAGCTCTGCCTAGTCTGGTCTGCCCCCATCCCAGCCCATGCTCTCCTGCGGAAGTAGCTGTCCTGCAAAGGAACCCTCCCTTATTCCCCTGCCGGCTCTGCCCACTTCCTTTCTTGTTCTCAGGCTGGTAGGGCGCTGCGGTCCCTTCCGGTACAGGCAACCTCACCTCGGCATTCCATAATGTGCACTAGTCTTTGTTGCGACCAACCCTAGGTCGACCCACACTGGTGCCTGGATTTGCCAGTGGATAATGTGGACAGATTCAGCCTGGTCTTGCCCCCACATCAGCCAATTGTATGCCAGTGGGTAGCTTTCCATGGCCTTTTCTGGGCTGTTTCCTATCATGTTTCTTGCGTTTACCTGCCTGGTCTGTGTCCTGCCAGAGGAGTTGCCCAGGCTCCTCCATCAGAACCTCTCCCAATGCCAGGTTTCACGCTTACCAGTGGGTCCATGAGCCAACCCTACTCAGTCCACCTCCTGTAATAACAGGAACTGTGGCTTTTCCTGTCTGGCCTTCCACCCAATCTGGTTCTTGCTGTTGGATGTTCCAGCCCAGCCATGGTTTGTCTACACCCACCTTTGGCTCACACATGGCTCAGTAGGGGTTTGAGACCCTGCCTGGTCCATCCCACATCTGCCCTGGTCCTCCAGAACACCAGGGGGAGTCGGGGTCCGGCCCGGTTCGGTGCATCCAATCCCAGTCCACACTTGTGCCAAGGGAGACTACAACTGTTTCCAGATCAGAACGCAGCTCCCCTTCCAGGCCATGTGCCTCTTGGTGGGAACCTCAGCCCAGCTAGGGTTGTCCCCTTTGCTCCCCAACCGGGTCTGTTCCCAGCCATAGATCACTTGCCTGCCAATGGATGCTCTGACTCAGCTTGGCACAGCTCCTCACCTGTCCCGACCTCTGCCTTAGACACTGTGGCTTAGCGTCCCTGGCTCCCACAGACCAGCAGGTACAAGAACCTAGCTCGGCAAGACCTCTGCTCCCTCCTGGTTTCTAGTTTTACTTGTGGGCTAAGGTTTGTTCAGTCGTGCCTAATCTACTCTGTTCCATTACCAGTTGACACATTGGCCAACTGTTGGAGCTACTTTTGCAAGACAGGCCCCAAGCCCTAGCTTCTGCATGACTGGTATTTGGTACTCAGAATTATTAGTGATTTAAAGTTTTGCTAAGGAAGAGTTACTGCCTGTTTCAGGTCCAAGAAGCACAATGGGTTCAACCTGGAGCGAATTAAGCAGCAACTCAAAGAACCAAATCCCCAGAGCTCCCCGGCCGGGCGGCGAGCAGGCAGAGCCTGGCACCAAATGGCGCACTGGCCGCCCGGGGACAGCTCAGCACATGGCGGCTGTGCCCATGGCGGCTGTCCGGGATCCAGGCATGAGACGCCCCGTCCTGAGACCCACCAGCTGCCAGGAAGCCACTGGAGGTTTAAATAACCCAGGCCCAAGGTCGCGCCCCTCCCAAATCCCATTCACCGCCCCATGAGGGCGGCGGGTGGGTGCCGGGCCTGCCCAGTCCCGGAGGCCTCCCCCTCGGTCTACTCACCCCGAAGGAAGCGGCCCCCGGAACCAGCAGGCCCGGGGACAGCTCAGCACATGGCGGCTGTCCGGGATCCAGGCATGAGACGCCCCGTCCTGAGACCCACCCGGGAAGTTGCATCTCTGTTCACCACTGCATCCCCAGTCCTGGGATAGTGGTCAGGACATAGTAGACACTCAGTGCTGCAGGAGTGACCACACTGCCCATTTGCACTACAACCTGAAGGGGCCATAGGAAGAAACACTTGCAATATGTCCTGGAATGTTATACTTGCGACTTTGTATTCTTGCTCATTTCCTTGAGCTTGACTAATTGTTCATGGTTCTGTGTGGTCTGTAGCTCAACTTGGGGTTGCTGCTAGGAACAATTTAACCCATTGTCACTGCCTGTGACACTGACATCCCCTAGGAGTGCTGGTTCAAGCCCCAGAAGCTCCACTTCTGAGTCAGCGCCCTGTTAATGCGCCTGAGAAAGCGACCAGTGAGGGCTCAAGTCCTTGGACCCTGCCATCTGGGGAGAAGACCCTAACGGAGTTCCAGGCTCCTGGCTTCATCCCAGCCCAGCCCCCAGCCATTGTGGTCCTTGGGAGAATGAAGCAGTAGATGGAAAATCTTTTTCTCCCTCTGCCTCTACCTCTCTGCCACTCTAAAAGAAAGAAATCCTCTCTAAAAGAAAATGCAAAATAATTAATATTTTAATTCCTCCTATCAGCACACACGTAATTCTATCAGCATTATCTGGTCCTATTTCGGTTACATCGGGAGCCCATTTTCTTGCAACCTGTGATTGGCAAGTCTTATTGAGTTAGAAATAAGCAGTATTCGCAATAGTGCCCCAGCAGCTGTATTTAGTATTTTGCAATACTACATCACTCCTTATCACTCTTGAGTTTGCACCTGACTAGTTGGAGCACGCATTCAGTGTGAAGCCTGTCTAGCCATTGGTAACAAGAAGTTGAATCCTGGCTTATTGAATGCTTTTTTAGGCACACCAAGATTTGGGAGTTAAATTTGAAAGATTCAGGATCAACATTTGGGACAGCAGTTATGATGTCTCTCGGGGGTCTGGCATGATGGCCTAGTGGTTAAGTCTTCGCCTTGCATATGCTGGGATCCCATACAGGTGCTGGTTTTGTCCCAGCTACTCCACTTCCCTTCCAGCTCCCTGCTTGTGGCCTGGAAAAGCAGTCAAGGATGGCCCACAGTCTTGGGACTCTGTATCCACATGGGAGACCTGGGAGAAGTTCTAGGCTCTTGGCTTCAGATTTGCTCAGCTCTGGCCATTGCGCCCAGTTGGGGAGTGAACCAGTGGATCTTTGTGTCTCCTTCTCTCTGTAAATCTGCCTTTGCAATAAAAACAACCCCTTCCCCCAAAATGCCACTAGGCATGTCCACCTGGAGTGCAGGATGGAAGTCCCAGCTCTGCTCTGGATTCCAGCTTCTTGCAAATGGTCAACCTGGGAAGCAGCATATGATGGCTCGAGTGCTTGGGTCCCTGTCACACAGCTGGGAGACCTGCATGGACCTGTAGGCTCTTGGCTTTGGGGTGGCCCCGCCCAATCTATTTTAGGTATTTGGGAAGTGAGCCAGTGAATGGAAGACATCTTTCTCTCTCTCAGTGCCTCGATAGCACTGTTTGTAAAATGGGGCTAATAGGACTGATTTCCTCTGGCTATGTTCAGAATTAAATCAGTGTGTATTGTATAGCACTTGCTGAGTGAAGCCCAGGAGCATTCAAGGTCCACTGAGCTCCCAGACATTATCATGAGGTCAAGATGCAGCCAGGGAGGAAAACACAGTGCAAGACTCTGTGTGTTCTCCAGTGGGTAACTCATGCATCTCCTGCAGGCATCAAAATGCAAAAGCATGCCTGGTGCAGGCTCGGGTTTCCCCAGGATGCACAACGGGAAAGCACTGATCCCACAGGAAACGCCCACCTGAAACCAATGGTCTCCTCAAAAAG